GCCTGCTGCAGACTGAGTCGCTTTCGTCGCTCTGTCTCTCTCGCACTCACGGGGCGTTCCCTATGGGTGCGAGAGAGACAGAGCCGCGAAAACGACTCTCGGAATCACTCTGCTGGCCAGCACCGCTGCAGCAGTAGCTCCGTCCCGTGACGTGCCCGGCTGCAGCAGCACAATGGAGCAGAATCATGATTAGAGGCTCTCCGCGTAACCCTACCCCTCCCCTCCGGGACCCCTCCCCCTCGCCCAAAAACAGGAAGGGGAAGGGTGGGTCCCCGCGAAGGGGAGCAGGGCGCGGCGGGACAGGATGCCGCCAGGATGGCCTCCATGTGGTAGTATCGCGAGGCACGTCGGCACACGCCGGCACGCCCAAGTGCGCCGTGGTCGCGGTGCGCTCGGTGCGCGTGGGCCGCGCTGCACTAGTGCTGCACTATAGCGCCGCTCAATTTCGCGACACGCCGGACGGACACGCCCCCCTGCGGCGCGGCGCTCAACTAGGCGGCCGGGCCTGGCCGTCAGTGCATGGCAGTGCAGCGACAGTGGCGCCAGGAAGCTTCAGGACCTCTCCCAGGACGACGCAGCAAGCAGCCCCGATGAGATAGCGACATGGACAGCGACGACGAGGACGACACCCCTGGTTCCGGCCCTGAGGAGGCGGGGGGCAACTACAGGGACTGGATTGTGCACAGGCCGGCGCCCCCCGCGGACCCCGGCGAACCTGTGCCGAGCACCAGCGGTGGAGGGGGGCCGGTTGCAGCGGGCAGCGATACCAGCGTAAGTACCTCTGAGAGTTGGCACAGGTACGGGGCGATAAACGTTGCGGCGCCCCCACGGCGCCCCTCCTGAGCGCGCTCCCCATGGCGCCCCTTCTCGGCGCCCCCAACCCGAGCCCCACCCTCTGCGTCGCTCTGCGTGGAGGGTGGCATGGCTGGCATGTGGGACTCGCGGAAAAAGCCGGTCGTGTCGAATTTTTGCCGCACACTGGCAAAACTAAGGCGTAGTATTACGCCTTTTGTGAGGCGCTACGCCCTCTTTGCAGCGTACAAGAGCTCAGGCGCTACCTTCCTCCTATCTAAATGCATTGGAGGAATTCCCTTGAAGCGCAGTAGTACTATTCAACAGAAGGGCATAAAGTGTTCAAGCGTCGTTCTACGCTCTAGTTTTACCAATGCAGCCGGCAATTATTTGGCAGGCCGTGACCTTGACAATGTACGATTTGGAGTTCGCGCATCTCAAACTAAACGTTTGTTCCACAGAACCTAAGGTGACGAAATAGTTTGAAATTCTCTGCAATGTCAATACTTTTAGGTCTGTCTAATCGATTGGTGGCTATTGTATAAGAGTTTTTGTCATTCCCCCATTTTTCAATTTTTATTCAATTTCAAACGCAACTCAAAAATTAAAGTGAAGGAGCTATCTAGGAGATACCTATAAAGTAGAAATTCCTGACTCAGGTGAGACAATTCCACGCAATCCCACTTCATGGCAACCCTTTTACGTTCGGCGAACGCTTTTTTCTCCCTGTCCACGTTTTGCAATCAGCCCGGACAGCTTTCCGACGTGCGAAAGGCTGACGTTGCCTGTCCGATTTTTGGCGTGCTTGACGAGCTGCAGAGAAACAGCTGCGATGTGTCAGACCGTCAGACGTCGTGATGGGCATGCATTCGTGCAGGGGAGAGGGGGGAGGAGGGAGGGGGGTGATCTGCAAACACAAGTGTGTTCAATCGCGTATGATTCACTGGACGGGCCGAGGCTTGTTCGCCAGCGTGCTTTCCACAGCGCAGTTAGTGATGCCGCCTCTCTTCTCGGTATTTTTTGCGCGCCATTTGCCATTACGCAACCAAAATGACATTTAAATAACGAGATATTCGGCTCGGCGTTTTTGCATAACGCGTCAGTGCGCTGAGTGAGGAATGTTGTTGTTTCATTCATTCTCTTGATCGTCCATTTCATTGTTGATCGATGAGTTATTTGCCTTGATCGTCCGTTCATTCATTCGTTTGTTCTTTCGTTCGTTCGTTGGTTGGTTCGTTCTTCCATTCATCCTCCTGGACTCTCACCTCTCTTCGGGCTGGAGTCCCTCCTTGCTCATGGGCTAGACTTCACCCTCCCCCACTGTTCCCGCGGTGCAAGTGCGCGCGTCGTGGTGCAAGCTTTCAAAGTGGAGTCGCAAGAAGTGCAAACAGTGATGCATAGCTGCAGCGCGGGGGTGACGCAAAGCGCGCAAATACTAGCGGAGCGGCTCGGAGGGTGAAATGCCAACGACATTTTATCTTTCGTAGCACGCCACCACAACAAAGCCCAAACAACAACAACAACAAACACGCCAGCTTGTGCTTATGGGGGCTCCATGGCGTTTCCAGAGAAACCCCGCTCTTCCATGGAACCCGAAGCAGCAGTGCTCTGGGGCGCCCCTCTCAGGGTCTCTCAGGGGGCGTAGCCGGCCGGTGCCCCAGACCACCCACGCGGCGCAGGGCCACACGGCTTCCCCAAGCAGGCTGGCTTCCCTGTTCCGGTCAAGTTTTCTATTTCGGAGCTCCGCCGCTCCAAAGCTATAGCGCGCTAGCGTGGTTTATTTGTCTGGCTGCGTGTGGCCCTGCCGCCGCGGCCCTGGACGCCCTGCTCCGCTTCCTGCCCACGTCAATAACGCGACAGTGTGGTAGACTGATTCCGAGAGTCGTTTTCGTCGCTCTGTCTCTGTCGTACGTACCTACACGGCACGCCACACATGAGCGCGAGGGGGACAGAGCGACGAAAAGGACTCTCGGAATCAGTCTGCAGCGTAGTAACTCAATCGATGTGGCCGCTGGTCGCGCTGACAGCCTGACGACGCCGTCGGCCACGTGGGCGACAACGGCGCCGTCGTCGTCGTCGTCGTGGGCGCGAGCCGCGCGAGCGATGCGGCTGCAATTGCAGGTCTCATTGCCGGTGGGCGGGGGATCGAGTCCCCGCGCGCGCAGTCACCGTTTTTCTGCGTTTTTGAACGCCTTCTGCTAGAGAAATGGCTGTATCCATCTGGTGACTGGGGTTGGTTATACACTCTCAACAACCAGTATATGTATCGACTGCTTTTGTAATTTTGCTTGGCCATACCTTTAACCTAGTCGTGACCCTTTATCAGGAGGGCAGAACTTCCAACCCTTGCGCGCGCGCGCGCACACACACACACACACACACACACACACACGAAATGGCATCACGTCGATGAATGGCGGGGGCCGTGACGCCGGCGCGTGCGGCGCGTGCGGTGCGTGCGGCACGTGGGCGTAACCGGCGGGGACCGGATTGCCAGCAGACTGATTCCGAGAGTCGTTCTCGTCGCTCTGTCTCTGCCGCACTCACGGGGCGTGCCGTGCAGGTGGGAGCGAGAGAGACTCTCGGCTGCAGGACTTGCGGCGGTAATGACGGTAGCGGGCGAATTCGCGGCAGAGTGGCGCCGTTTCCTGTTATTCCGCGAGTTCCAGAGTTCCAGCGAGTGCTAGACTCCGCCTCGCTCCGCCATGCTTCGCTTGGCCGCCATGATCCGCGCTGCGCCCTGCCCCCCGCGGCCCCCGCGCCCCCCCCCGCCCCCCACTGTCCCCCATGGCGTCGCCCGGGTGGGGGAAGGCCAGGAGGCTGACATGAGCGCGCAAGAGCGGCTAGTGAGTCACAGAGGCTGGGGCTGCCAGAGAGGATGGTCCATAGGCCGCCCGAAAAGAATGGTCCTGCTGGGAGGGGAGGGGGCGAAGGGGCTGCCTACCCACCAGGCGCTGCCGCCTCGCGCCGCTTGCCCCTGGCCGAGCCAGGCTGCTTGATCGCGGGCACCACAGTGACGCAGGCCGTGGTTACATTATGATAATGCAGGGGACTGCCCCGACTGGACTGCCCGTCTGCTGCTTATCAGTCCTCTGGCCAGAGATCGGTCTTCGGGTTCACGTCATGATGCTGCCTCTCTCTGGTTTTCCTGCTCTCTGGTTTTTGGGGTTGCCGTCTCCCGGTGCCTCCGAACGTCGCCACATCGCGGAAATGATGCCCTGGAATAGCACGGCCGATGACCGGGTGCAGTGTCTCGGCTTGATGTGGTTCCGGCCGACCGCAAGCTCTGACCAACCCCAACTCCCAGGTGGCGCAGTAGTGCCTCTCAACGAAAATCTGGACGCGTGCTTGCACTTTTCACCTGGACTGTACTTCCTGCTGTCCGAGACGGGGCTCGTGGTGTAGAACTGCATCTAGGTCTCCGGAAACGATCCGGCCGTTGGCCCCTGGTCTGGGGGCCCCGGTGTGGGGGCCCAGGGCGTGGTGGGCCCGTGGGCACCGGATGTGGGCCCAGATTGAGCGCCTCCGTGAACACCGTGAACACCGTGAACACCGTGAACACCGTGAACACCGTGAACACCGGCATGCCGGCGGGGAAGAGCGACAACGCCGCAGAGTAGCGACGCGGCGACGCTTAGCGTGGAGTAGCGTAGCGCTCGGCGTAGTAAGCGTAGTCCGTCGGCGTCGACCAGGCCCTCCGCTCGGCCAGTGGACTCCAGTGCGCTCCAGAGCACTCCAGCGCGGACAGCCCGAGCCAAAACCGTGCCATTTTCGCGGCGCTTTGGGTTTTTGCCGGGCCGGGGACGTCCGCCGGGACTTTTCCGGGCCGGGGTTTTCCTCCATGGACAGCCTCGCGGGGGAAAAGTGGTCGGCAACGCGCTGCGCACACATTCCAGTCCTCCAGTCCTAGTGTTGTTGAATGGCCTCTGTGGAGGGGCGCGGGGAGGGGTGCGGGGAGGCGACGACGCTACGCTGGCTACGCTACACTCCCCTCCCTCCGTCCCCACCAACCCCCGCCTCGACCGCACCGCTCCCCTCGCCGTCCCTTCCCACGACCGCCGGGCGCTTACCAAGCGTGATGGTGCTGTCCTTCTCGCACGGCCCGGCATGGCCGTGCTCTCGCGTGAGTGCGACAGAGCGCGACGCCGTTCTCGTGAACCCCCCTCCCACCGCGCTGTTGGTGTGGTGCGCTGCGCGCCGCGCCGAGGCCAGTCTCCGTCTCCGTCTGTTCTGTCTGCAGCAGTCTGGCGTTGGCAGTCGATTCTTACCCCTAGTGCACGAGCAGCTCGCTGCGTTCGCTTCGCCCTCGTCTCTCACCTCAATGTTCGAGCTCAAGTGACTTACCGCGTGCCCTACGCGAGTTGCTTGACCTCACAGATTAGATGTGACCTCGTCGTCCGAGGTCCGCGAGAGTACGTGCGTGTGTGTGTGCGAAAAGAAAGGATTACCTCGTCGCCAGGACAGCCCATCTGGGAACTGACCTGCACCTCACGAGAGGACTCAGCAACGCCAAAACTTTGGATTACAAAACAGCCATCAGCCACCACCGTAAGTCTCGCGGTTTTCACTGGCATTGGGCACGACTCTGGGTCTTCTTGTTTGAAATTTGAATTTCCTGCGCGTGGTGCTGCCAACCGCTTGGCGCGGCAGTTGGTTTGGTGTCGGCTTTAGCGAGCGGCCCGCCTTGTCGGCGACGGCCCCTCCCCTTCCCTTTCCCACCTTCTGCATGCTCCCATTCTGCCTTGCATTCTGCGTACTCTGGCGCCGTTGTTTTGCGCCACTCGGCGCCTTCGCGACGAACACTCTCTCGTCAACATGTGACGTTGGCAGCCGTGGCGCCCGTTGCCCCGACCGAAGTGGCACGAAGCCTCTGGCTGCCTCTGGCCCGCCAGGCGCCTGCCGGCCTGCTGGGCTCGGCAGCTCGGCGTTGTATAACAACAACCGGGGTTGATTGCGGCCAACGGAAGGGGGAGAGAGGGAGTGCTTCGCAACTCGCGCCCGCCGCGGCAATGCGCCCGAAGCCCGCGCTCGCAGTTTCTCCTGCTTTCCCTCGACTGGAGAGGCGCGAGGGAAGTCCCTCGAGTGTGGCGGCGCCGCGGCGCCCAGAGGGCCGAGGGGTGACCGGGGGGTTGGTTGGGGCCGAGGGGTCCGCGGGGACGAGTGTCGGGAGGCGCAGCGACGCAGCCCGTTGTGTGCAGTGCAGCTAGAAAGCAGCCTATGTTTACTGAGAACGTCCCGCGGGACCAAGGACTTGCGCGGGGCACAGCACGTCTGCCCGCTTCGGCTGCCTGGGAGTTACTGGCCCCTCTCTCCTTCTCCTTCTCTTTTTCTCCCTCTCCCGGTCGCTTCGCGCTTCGTGACGCGGACAGTTGCCAGACTGCCTACAGCAGCGCCATCTATCGGCTGAGTCGGGGCGACGGAAATACCCGAGGTGCCCTCCGAGGCCGACCCCCATGCCCCCGGGACGGTGCACTGTAAAAACCCTAGGAAGAATCGCTTCGTAGTACGAAGGAAATGAACGAAGAAATGCTTCGTATTATGACGAAAAATCCTTCGTTATACGAAGCAATTCTACAACGCCCTCATTTTATTCGTAGTTATGAAGCAAATGCTTCCTAGGCTTTTTAGAGTGTACCTAAGCCACCTTTTTTTCTTGTTTGGTTTTGCTGTGTAGTCTTCTGATAACGGGGAGGTTTTTACTCAGTTGACGCCGTCGTCGTCGTGAAAGTAAACAAAAGAATCATGCTCTCAAAATTTTACAAGCTCTTTGAAAACAAAATTTTAAATAAATTATTACACTTTACGACTTGAACCCGAATTCTGTTTGCAATTTCATCCCCTTCTGCTGAGGCTTTACGGAGCGCCCCTCCGGAGGGAGGCCTGGAGAACGCCGACTGCCGATCTGCAGGATCGTTTCGCCGCTCTGTCTCTCTCTGTCGCACTCACGGGGCGTGCCGTGGGGGTGCGAGAGAGACAGAGCGCCCGGCTGGCTCCAGTACACTGCCGACTCCCTCCGGCTCGGCGGCGTGGCGTGGCGTAGCTCCACAGCAATGGCGGCGACGGGGCTCTTGCCGTGTCATTCCTTTCTGAGAAACCCTTGGCGGTAAACAACTTCCTCTTGTTTACACCATTTCCGAAAACAAAACGTCAAGCAATAGCGCAGGACCATGCGTGTCAGCTTCGTTGCCCATGCTCAAAATTAAAAACAAAATGAGCAGGCCCCGAAATGCAGCCTTTATTGGTGTTGTTGGAGCCGCCGCTTGGACAGCCGCTCGGTGGTCACGCGTGTGCGTGACTGGGGGTGACTCCGGGCAGGTGGCTGGCCGTACTGACTCAGCCTGTGTGCCGTGGCTATACGCCGACTTGACTTTGCACTTCGACCGCTGGCTCCGTTGCTGTCTGAATCAACCTCCAGCCCCAGCCAGTTCATTCATTTGATGGCAGGCAGCTGCAAGGCGCGTCCCAGAGTTGACTGTGACTCCAATCGTTGTTATCGCTATCTTGCTCCAAACCCTCCACGTCCCCGATATAAGGGTGGGGTTATCGTCACGTGGAACAGTATGTCTCAGGTTGTCGATCGCCCGTGTGGAAGTGGCAGCGCTCATTCGAGATGTGATCTACTCCCGAGCACCATCGCCATGGCGATGCAGGTACACAATTCTAATGCACTTTTCCCTCCCAAGTTTGGCTCGACTTTAGCGTATGCAAGATGTCATGCATTCTGGCGTACAAGTTTCCAACATGCAAAGGCTTGCGCTTCGCGCACAACTTGCATACGAAAAGTGCACCGGAACTGTGTGGGCGCGCCATGGCCGGGTTTGGACGCGTTTTCCGAGTCTCTTCGTGACGGGGCGTCGCACGCGCGTGCCCCGGGACTTCCCTATCACCATCACGAGGCCGAGCAGCAAGCCATCTGCAGTGTGGTATCTCCGGGGGCACAAGGGGCAGACGGGCTGGGCCAGGTGCAGGGTCTGTCGAGTGATTCAAGAGTTGTCGCTCCATCTCCCTCGCACCCTTATGGAGAGCCCCATGAGTGCGACAGAGACAGAGCGACGAAACGACTTATTATATTCTTATTCGTCGGGCTGCGCCGCGCGCCGAACATCTGCCCTCCCCGCAGCTGCCGGGCGCGTGCTTTTTCGCTCCGTCTCCGTCGCTCCCGCAGGAACCGCCGACGAGAGGGATAGAGTGGGCCAGGTGCTCGGCTGGCTGTGTCGGGGAGCGTGCCCCAGACGCTTCCTGCTCATCTTGGCAGCGGGGAGTAATAAGAAAAGAATGCCCGCGCCGCGAGGCAGCCAGGCACGGCCGCGGTACAGTCCGGTCCAAAAGTCCAAAGAGCAGACATTCTGTAGTCCGTTGAGACTGCGCTTCACTTGAGACTCCATCTGTTCGAAAAAACCTATTTTACAGTGCCGCTTTTGAGACGAAAATGGGAGCATGCCGCGCGACCCGCGGCGTCCAGGCGCGGAACAGACAGGCTATTGTGGAGGCTCCGCTGGCGCACTGCGCACGCGGGCCCGCTGGCCCCCTGGCGCCGCGCGCCGCGAGGTCCTCCCAAATTGGGGCCCGGTCGCGACCTTGGCGGCAGACCTTGAGCCTTTTGACGTGACGCAACTCGGCGAGTGAGTCAACAACAACACTGACTATTCACTCTATTTTCTTAAGTTTGGAGCGGCCGATTCCGAGAACGATGAGGAGCCTCGCGGGAAGCGCAAGCGCGGTCACATGCTGCGAGTTTCGACACTCACTGCAACTGTAGACCGAAAGGGCTTCAGTCTCGCACTGCCTCCCTGCCCTGTGGCGCAACGCCTCGTGACTGGCAGACACAGGCTGCACGCTGCACAGGCGTGGTGGGGCGGTCCCGAGGACTTCCGGCCACTGCCACCGAACGCAGGGAAGTCCAAGTAGTGGCGACGCCCGCCGACGCGTTTACTAGTCATTACTACACCCAAATTAAAAACGTTTCCCGTGCCCTCGGGACGCGCATCCGCTTTGCCCTGGATTCGTCCTTTCGTCGTCCCGGACTATGCGGGCCCCTCGCTTCGCCTCCCTTCCCTTTCCTCCTTCTGTCCCTTCGCCCGCTCGTTGGCGTCTCTGGCCCCTGGTTCCGGTTAGTTCGCTTTGTCGCCGCCGCCGCAGCGCCACCTGCCGGCAGTGCTCGTGCTCGGCTCGGCTCGCCAGGCCCGGCAACAAAGACGCACGGCTCCATTGTTACATCGTGGGTCGTTTTCGGTTCTCATGCAGCTCAGATAGTTGTGACTCAAAGTTTCCGTTTTCTAAATTTTGGTTTCTGTCTTCGTTTGCTGTTCACAGTCTGTTAGGTTGGCTTGGCTGGCTTGTCTCCGCTCAGCTGGGGGTTGCTCTTGGTGGGGTGGGGGTGGTGGGAGGGAGTGTGCAGACTGCGCATGCGGAGGCGATTGTTTCGTTTGTTTTGATCAGACGCGGAGACAAGACGGAATCGACCCAGACGACAGTTTGAATTTTATGATTCAATTTATCTTTCGGGATAAGCATCAAGATGATTAGTGCAGACAGTTGTGACACTGAAGCCGGCCCTTCATCGGTAATAGCTGGCCTGCTTTCTGGTTTACCTAAGTTGAGGGTGGTTTAACCGCGTATAGTGTTTCGTCTTCACCCTTCTATTCTTTGCTCTCCGTCTTGTGTCCATGTCCCACCCTATGCTTCCAATGCAAGTCGCCCAATCCACTTGTCATATCTGTTTCGCCCCGCTTTGCGTCTACATACTTTGTTTGAGTTCAACTTTCCGATATCGATCGCGTGCCTCGGCGTCATGCACCCCTAGGCTAGGATGGGAGAGAAGGGGGTGGGTGCCTGAGGGTTTTGGAAGTGTAGGACTGTAGAGGTCTACTGTGATATTCCCTTATGTTGGTATTAACTGTTATCTCTTTCTTTGTTGCAGATGCCTCCAAACCAGAAGAGTGTGGATTGCCTCCCCACCCCTACTCCAAATCGGCCCAATGTCCTAACAAGCACACCATCTCGCGACTACAAGGTGGAGAGGCAGCGACTGGAATCATTTGCAGGCTACCCTTCAAACTCCGTTGATGTTCGACAGTTGGCCAAGGCGGGATTCTTTTTCACCAAGAGTGAAGATATAGTACGCTGTGCCTTTTGCGATGTTGAAGTTGGACGGTGGGAAGAAGGCGACAACCCTGCTGAAGAGCACAAGAAGTGGTCGAAAAACTGCCCTTTCTTAAGTCATCCATCTGCTGTAGACAATGTTGCTATTAGTCCTTCTGATCCACCACCACCACTACCTCAACTGGAACCTTACGGCTTTGATGAATGTGGAATTTTCAACATTAAGAAGTCTGACAACTGTCCCATCGTGCCATCTCTTGAAAAATTGGGAATTCACAAGAGATATAGCCCAGCACACCCCTCTTACATCACACTAGAGGCCAGATTAGAATCCTTTGAAAGCTGGCCCAGTGCACTAAAATTGAGACCGCAGGAGCTTGCTGAAGCTGGTTTCTTTTACACCGGTAAGGTTCAATTTCTCTGAGGCAGAGGCACTTAGTCTCTTTTAAATACACTGTAATTTTTCTTCAATGTTTTAATTCTTTTTTCTTTTTATCTTCTAGGACTAGGAGACAAGACAATTTGTTTCCAGTGTGGTGGAGGTCTGAAGGACTGGGCTGAGACTGATGAACCTTGGAGGGAACATGCGCTGTATTTCTCCAAGTGTGGATACGTAGTACAAACGAAGGGCCGAGAATTCATCGGAGAGGTTTTAGGGAAAAGGCCTGCAACGCTTACCCCAGAGGTAATCTATCATAAAAACATTACATACAGTAATTCAAATTGCAACTTTTGTGAACAACTCATTCATTATTTGCTTTCTCTTGTAGGAAATTAAAGCTCTGGCTATACCTAAGGAATATTCAAATGTAGTTCAACAGCGCCCTCAGTCAGCAAGTTCAAGGTATGTTGATGTCTTTGAAAACTGGCTGATTTATCAAGAAAATTAGCAGTCTACTTAACAGTTTCATTTTCTGCAAATATATCATTTTTTTGGTTGTTAATTTATTTTTTCTACTTTACAGCACTACTGAGGAAGTTTCCTCCTCAGAAGCCAATGTTGAAGAGAATGTTGAAGAGAATGAGAGCAGCGCGATTGCTCCAAGTACCTCAGCACCTTCCAAGTCATCTGCCACCAAACAGGTGGATGATGCAAGGGCGTGTAAAATATGCTTTACTGAAGAAATTGGAGTGGTATTTCTTCCCTGTGGACATTTGGTGTCCTGTGTTAGCTGCGCATCGTCGCTTACCACCTGCGCGGTGTGCCGTGAGCCCCTCGTTGCAACGGTTAGAGCTTACTTGTCTTAGATTTAGAGTAGTTCATCGGTTTTCCCGACTTCCTAAAATAAAATTCGCGGTTTTACAAGGTGTCCTTCGGGGGAGCGTGGCTGCAACCTGCCCAACACAAGAAAATACCGTTGTGTGGGTTGCAGCCACGCTCAAATCTTAAATCATTGGAATTATTTTATGAAGACAGAAGAACGGATGTAACTTTTAAGCACTATGTTTCTTAGCTTACCGCTTTTACAGTGAGTCCGGTATGGCACCTGTTTGAGTATACTTGTCATAAATTAGAACTGTGTGATATTGAATAGATTGTATAAAGCCACATCTTTCATTCCATTGAAAGTAACAATTGTCAGTCTTCAAATGTGTTTTATTGGAGGGTTTTTCATGTATCAAGTGCACTTCATGGCTAATTCATGAACTTCTAACTCTTTATACTGCCGTGGAATGTCTTGATTTGTGTAAACTAAATTATTTGTTTTAAGAGCCTCTTGTACTGTTAACTGCTATGGTCAGGCGTTCCTTGACTTCATGAGCCGTTTCTTGGTCATTTATTGAAAGTCACTGAATGTCTTGATTTGTGCTAACTAATTTTGTTATTTAATAAGTATCTGTAAGAGCCTCTTATTCTTGGCACAGCACCAGATAGGCATTTCTTGACTTCATGAGATCTTTCGCTCATGAAATAGTTACTATGTCTTGATCTGTGCAAACTAAATTTATGCATCAGGTGAGCATTTCTTGACTTCATGAGCCATTCCTTGCTCATGGGACTGTCATAACATGCTTTCATTTATGAAAATTAAGCTCAAAATTTTAAATTTATCTCATTTCTTGAATTGCACCTGATAGTAATCTCCTCACCTTAAAAGCCCTCTCCCTCTTTCTTTTATCATAAGATAAAGGAAAGGTCTGTGGAAACTAAATTAATGGTGACTGCACCAGATGGGCATTTCTTGACTTCATGAACTTTTCTACTGTGGAAAGTCTTGATATGTATAAACTTTAGTCAATCATGAAAGCAAATTGTTTGTAAATTTTCATTGTAATTTCAGTACAAAAGAATTGTGAATAATTGTCAACCCCCTTTTTAACATATGCAAAATTTTGATCCTTCTCCTTACTGGGGAAGCATTTGATCCTACATGTGTTGTTAAGTGGGTTTACGGTATAACTGTGAGGTGATAATGCCAAAGAAACAACACTGTTAAATTTTTTGTTGTGAAAATAAATAAAAAACAAAGTTAAAAACTTTCATGCGCTATTTTTTATTTTGTCCTAAATTACATGTCATAGCAAAGAAAATGACTTGAATTGTAAGTAAATAAGAATAATGGAAGAACCATCTCGCCTTGCTTGCATTCCAGAGAAGAACACCTCTGTTTATGTTTTGAATACATTCTAAATACTTTTGCAATGAAACTAAGCTTATTGGGAAAGAAGAGTCTTGATATATGCATTGTCTTTAGCTAAAACTTCATTACGTAACTCTTCTAAAGATTTAGAGCGATTGTCCTCATTTTCTATGTCGGTGCAAATCTTCTTACATTTATGGAGAAAATCTTCCATAATTTCTTCAGCTTCCTACAGAGAACAATATATGAGTACATACACAATGTGAACTTAATTAAATACACACTCACTTATCTATAGGAATAGTTCATACCTCAATGATCTTGGATTTAGAGGAGTCATCAGAGGCAAAGTCCAGACCTTGGTAATCTTCTAATTCTGCTTGCCTGCGCTTAGCATACTGAAACACACATTGATAAATTTAGAACAAAAAGAAGACCAAAATTTGACTTACATAAAACTGGCTTAACTGCAACTTACCTCAATAACATGAGGTGGAAAGTGGGCCATTTTTGCAACATGAATGCCAAAACTCTGATCACATACCCCCTCTTTGACTTGATACATTAATGTCAGAGAGTCATCTGTGGTAATAGCTGTAACATGACTGTTACGAATGTTGGACAGTGTCCCTGCCAGCCTTGTGAGTTCATGAAAATGAGTGGCAAATAAGCAAAATGCTTGAACTTCCTTGGCCAGGTGCCTAGAAGTAGAAAAGATGAATGAAAAAATAAAAAAGCAAAAAGGTTTTGGAATTGAACATGAAGACCCAGGAGAAATGCGAATGTTAAAGTATACTCACTCTGCAATGGCCCAAGCAATGCCACAACCTTCATAAGTTGAAGTACCGCGCCCTAACTCATCAATAATAACAAGTGAATTCTTAGTAGCAGTCTGTAAAACATTTCCAGAAAGTAGAATGACAAGTCTTAGTTATTCAAATGATTGTGTGAGATATTTTGAGGGTTCATGAGAAATAAGATGTTTCAACAGTACAGACTTCACAAAGATTTAGAACTTACCCCTAAGATGCCTGCTGTTTCGACCATTTCTGTCATGAATGTAGACATTCCTTTTAATTGACAATCATCTGCACCCACTCGTGCAAGAATTGCGTCCACCATTGAAATTTCTGCTTCATCACATGGGACATATGAACCCAGTTGTGCAAGAAGAACACAGACCCCTACTGAACGAATGTAGGTACTTTTTCCACCCATATTGGGACCAGTTATAATATGGAATGTACAATCCCCTGAAAGCATTACAGGAAAAAAAGAAGTAACATTTGAATGACTGGTTGGTTGCTTTGACAGTAATTAAATGGATATCAACAAACCAACCATGCTTAAAGAAAGCATCATTTGGAATATAATCAACACCATCTTGACGCTCTAGACAGGGATGCCTGGCTTGAGTCAACTTCAAGATCCCAGAGCCCTCAGCATGCATTTTTGGACGTATGTATGGTCTAGGGGCTGTGGCCACCACGACAGCAAAACTAGTTAATACATCTAAATGAGCCACAACCCCACTCAGGCTGTTCAGAGTACCAGAGTAACCAGCTGCAAAACAAAATAAAGTCATGTCTTAGTAAAATTTTGTTAAATGATATTGAATGTGCTAGTACTGGTAGTTAGTAGTAGTATTAGTAGTAGTAATTCTATTTACCTGATATACTCAAGATTTCATCTACAATTGCTTTTTGATGTTCTTGGTACTGATCTCTTGCAGCTATGTAATCAGAATTAAGTTGCTCCAGCTTGGAATCTCTGAACCTTACACCATTCTTGTTGGTATCAATTGTGGTGAAACTTTTGTTGTTTCTGAGACTTTTTTCATCCTAGTATCAAGTAATTAGTCACTAAAAATACCTATTTTGATATTAGGACAAATCTTTGAGAAAATGAGAAAAAAAATACTCACTTTAAGGGTTACACGGAAATAATAGCCCATTTGAGCATTTGATTCAAGCTTAATGGACTTGCCAGGTTCTAAACTCAATTCTCTTGCAGCTTTGTTCAGGTGTGATTTCAACTTTTCCTCTAGCCCATCCATTTGATCGCGGAGCTCTGGAATAAAGTCAAGAAAATGTAGGAATTTATCATGACCAACGTCAACCCTCAACCCTGGATACAGGATAGGATCGAAATTACCTTGGAAGTTATCATCAAAGGATGGTTTTACAAGGAACTCTCCGCGGTCAACAATATCCATGTCAAGAGTGGTCTCAATCATTTCTTGAAATTTATCCATTTCACCAATGTAGTCTCGAAGAGGGTCAATTATGGCTGCTCTGAAAGTTGGATGAGGGTTTCCTCCATTTTGGTTGTTTAGTGCTTCCAGCATAAGAGGCAAACGAGACAGAGCCTGATAGATCCTAGAGAAGAAAAGAACCCTTAGAAACAGTGTTTATTTTACTATTATTTACAACCTTTAGAATTTATTTTACTTGTAACAATCTTGCATTGATGCTTTTTTCCTATGCAGCTTTTTAGAAAGTGCCTGCAGATCTGGAACTCTTCTTAAATGTTCCTCAGTTAGAGTTTGGCGTAACTCTTCACTTTCACAAAGGACCTGTAATATTTGAGTGTAATGTCCCCAAAACAATTAAAACAATGAATTCAAAATTTTAAGTTTAAGAAAAAACAAACAGCACATGTATACAAGACCTGAACAATGTCATGTCTTTCCGTGACAGCATTAAGATCTCTCAAGGGCTGTTTCACCCACTGAGCCAAGAGCCGGTGTCCTTGAGGAGTGCGACACCTGTCTAGAAGGCCTAATACACTGTGGTGTCGATTCAGAGAGTTTGACCCTGGCCCAGGTAACAGGTTTAATGCTCGGACTGCAGCAGCATCCATATGCACAAAACGTTTAATGTCTAATGATGAGAGAGTGAACTGACCACTATTACTTTCGTCGTTCCCAAGCTGGAAATAAAAATGAGGAAGTTACAAAAAATAAAATTCTTAATTTGTGATAGTCATGGTGAAGAAAGGAAAATCAGACCTCAAGGTATTTTATGACTGCAGCCAAAGCCAAAGTAGCAGTGGAAAGATTCATCTCTGGAAGAGCAAGTGAGTTTTGCTGCTGTCCACTTTTGAAAAGAAGAAGACGGTTCAAATCACTGGCTAGATTGGACGATGAAAAATCAGCCTTTTTGCGACCAGTAACAAGAACATTGCTTCTATCCAAAACCTAGAATAAGATAAGAAAACAATAACAAGTAAAAACTTAATTCCAGAAGATTTCAGTAATTGATGACATCAACACTTCACCTTCTTCAAAGCTGCTTGTTCAGGAGAACCATCTCCTTGAGGAATGAGGCATTCTTTGGGGCCCAACTGTACAATTAATGCCTCCAAGTTTGTAAAATGGTCATCATCAGGGAACTCACAGACGCAGAATTTTCGGTCTGCAGTCTCAACAAAGCCCACACCAACATACTAGAAACAAAGAAAAAGTTATATTTAATTTCTGCCATATTTAAGTGTTTATTGATTATTCTATTAAAAATTTGTCAGTTACTTTTGATTTCTCATCCTTGCTAAGTTTAACAGCGATAACAGCTGATCCAACAACTTGATCCTGTGAGCTGAAAAGTACATCTTCAAACTGTACCAAATTGCCAGGAGAGCCCTGAAGAAAGATCAAACACATAATGAGTTTAGTAACCAAGGGTTATGCCCTCCCCCTCTAACAAAAAGGGAAAGAAAACCTGGCATTTTTAAACATAATGTTTTACAAAAGAGGAAGTAAGGAAGTCCTAATAGTATTACCTTGTACTCTAAAGACCAGTCACTTGAGTTTCGTGCACCACTTTTGCTGACATACACTTCAACTCTGTATTGCTTCACTAAAAGAAGGTCCCTTACAAAAGACTCAAAATTTGCTTTGCTCAATACAACAGAGTCAACCTTGTTATCACCTTAAATATACAAGAGCAAAATAATAAGATTAATAAACCATGTATTATATTTTACAAATAATTGTTCCTAAACTAAAGTAATTTTTTCTGGGGCCCTGCCAAAATTTGTTTTACAATATACTAATACTTCAGATAGGTACTTACCAGCTCCAATTTGCTTGATAACAGATGATGTTTTGAAAACTTCTTTAGCTGCAAAAACTGCATCGCTGCCATGAAGTGTGTAATAATCCACCCGGTTGAAAAAGCGAATGGTTGTTGCAGGTTTCTGAAATTTGGAAAAAAAAAGCAGTTAGAACACAGAGGAAAAACATACACATTTCTTCAATTTTGTTCTATGAGGTCAAGGATCTGTATAAAACTCAAAACCATAATGTGATAAGAGTCCTGAAAAAAGAAAAGAGAAAGAGGGGGGGGGGGGGGGCAGCCTTTATCAGCCAGACCCTATGTGCTCAATTGCTGGAACCACAATGTCGGCAAGGCTGCAGACATATTCCAGGAAAGAGTTTCCAGGTCATTGATAATGTTTCCCAAAACAAAATAAAAAGCAAGACTGAGAAGAGTACATGATATTTTTTACTCCCTCTGTCCATTGAAGCAGTCAAAGACGACATTATAGTAATTATCAATGAAATTTGAAGGTAGCTGTAGTAGCAAAAAATGCAGAGGAATGACTTTGGATTAGGGTCAAACTGATAAGGAAACAAAAAGAACAAAAAAAGGGGGCGGGGGGATTAAAATGAAAAGGCTGCTGGAGAGAAGTCTGCACACCAAGATAAGGAGACTGAGTTTTGGAGTGGGGATGAATGTGAATAAGTAGAACCTACTGAGGCAGGATTTTGTTCAGAAGTGAGGCAACCACGGAGCAGGACTGTTCATCATGTCGACAACAACCAAGTAAGTAACTTTGATAGTTCAATCAATCAAAAAACTGAAGCCAAAATTTGCCACTGATGACAAAGGTGACTCTGCTCATCAGTTTAAGAGGAATGCAATGCAAAATTTAAGATACCTGACTTGAGTACAGAGTCAACAACAATGTTGACTTCTTTACTCATTGGTTAACATCCAGCATTACAAACCAAAGATACAAAAGTAGTTACAAGACGCTTATGATTCCTATTACAGGCACAAAGTATGGCTTGTGTTACTGGTCATAGGGATTGCCACAAGTGCCCCTCTCAATGATGAGAGGATTTACTTTCCCGGTGAAAGCCAGGAATTGGAACCCCGAGGCTATGGGTTACAACCTAACATGCTGCCAAGCCAGGTAAGGTTGCTTTATTTGTTGATATTTTTAAAGAGATTGCTTGATGCAATATGGGTTTTGACTTAATTCTAATTTTTTTTAGGAACATCAATCATATCGAGGTGTAGGTCAGGATGTAAGTGAAGAGCAGGCATGGCCCCAGAACAACAACCCTCAAACACCGGTTCTTGAAAGTGGCTACCAAGGGCGCCCAGAATTGCCTGCCTATCAAGAGCAGAATGGTTATGGAGCTGGATACAGTGGACAGCCTCAAAGGACACTGCCATATGCCCCAGTCAACTGGGGGACAGACTCTCAACAAGGTAACATAGAAAAGTCTCATCACATGTCATCATATAGCGCATCCAGTTTCCAGCACTCTGCAGAGTCTCCAGGAGCATATGTGCCAAATGGGCCTAGCCCCCTTCAAGGTGCATCTTACTCCAGCATTACAAACAACGGCATACATCATGGTGTACATCATGGAGGTCAGAAAGTGACGAAGCACACATGGACATCCCAGCACTTGGCATCCGGATCAGGTGAGCTGCAGCATGGTCCACAGTACATAGTTCATCAAGAGGCAGACAATCAGGGGCAAGATCAAAGAGGGCTCGAGCACAGCTTCAGCTCAGTTGCACATCAGGCACACAGCACCAACGATTTATCATCAATCATTGGTGGACCAACACAACAAGGCCACGAATTGCACCCAACAATCCAGCAAGCACTTGGTAATGTAATTGGGCATTCTTCAGGAAAAGTAATGTCACAGCCATCACAACACACAGTTCACAAAATTTCTCACATGAAAAAGACATCAATTCAAAATGTGGGCCAAGAGCCCGTTCTCATTCAATCAACTTCGTCAAATGATGATATCAGTCTTTCTCATCTGATAGAGGAGCTGAAAATGCTTGAGAACTCACCAAGGCATATTAACATAACATGGTGCGAGGAGAAGATAAAAGAGTTCCTTCAATCACTTAGACGTAAGCAAGCAAGCGGAGTTTTCATCAATCAACAAGTACAAGAGGAAACCCTCCATCAAATTTTGACCCATGAGGGAGTTCAGAATACTGACAGTAGTGGAGGAGTTAATGAGCCAGTTGTGACCAAGGTGACTGTGAGGCCACTGGGAAGGGAGGACATGACAAAATCGCAAGTTGAGTCAGAAACATTTGCACATCATCAGGAAAGTCACATAGACAGGAATGATGTTGAGGCACCACATCCACCAACTGACCAAATTCAGGAAGAAAGCAAAAGCAACACAGACACTGAAGTTATTACAATAATTCCACACGCTAACGAGCAGCGACCAGAAATAATGGCACATCAGCATGAATTCGGGAATCAATCACCTCCACTTACATCTGACAACACCAAAGACCTCCAAGAGTTAGATCTTGATTTGCCTGAGTACGTTCCATTTGAACATGCTCTTTCGGGAGATATACAAGCGGCTGCAGGCAACTTTCACAAGGAGACCAGACCATTTCCAAAACCAGTAGAGGGGGAGACATCCGAAGGTCATCTAGTTGCAACAGAAACTCAGCATCAGCAGGAGGCCTCATCCTCAGAAACACATCAAGAAAACGAGGATAGAGTAACACAAGAACTGAAGGACATGTCCAATCATCAGATTGACTCTGAAACATCTCACGATGGAAAAATGATATCTGAACAGAAGAAAGAACAAATAGAAGAAGGGTCATCAAACCATGCTGAATCAAATTATCTTGGGGGAAAAGTAAACTATGAACAACTTCAGAACACAAGTCAACATCATAACATTCAAGGGAGACCCCAAGCACCTGAGGGAGAATTAGAAGGTACAGCTGAGAAAAGCCAGGAAGAAAATATAATGCACTCAGGACAGTCTTCTGGATCAGTTGGAAGTTCTGCAACAATAGATGAAGCTGGAAATGGATTTGTTTTGAACTCATCAGCAGGGGGACATTACACTCAAACACATCAGTCAACGACCATTCAAACCCTTCACAAACAACAAATTAACTATGACACACTGATAGAAGAACTTATTCAACTTGAAAGCATTCCTGGTCATCAAGCAATAGATAAGTGTGAAGAGAAGATTCAAGAGTTTTTGGAAATTCTCAAATACCAGCAAGAGCAAGGTTTTGGACGAAACCAACAAGAGCTACAAAGACTTCATCAGACTCTGATTGAACAAGCCGAAGAGAGAAGCAAGCAGTTGGCAAACCCTGAAGCAACTACGTTGGCGCCAACATCATTCTGGAGGAGAGTGCAGAAAAAAATTAAAACTACATACGACAGTGCAAAAGATAAGGCCAAGGAGGTAATTGGTTGAAAACTTGTCATAAAGGGTGTTCGAAAAAGCAGGAAGAATGAAGCTGTACAGAAATTCAAAAATGGGAATAAATGAAATAGTAGTCCATAAAACTCTTCATTACTTACCTCAGACAATGTTTTAAAAAATCTGACAAATCCCTGCTGTTGAGTTGTATCTGAAACATTACACAACATAAAATGTGAAGTTAAAACAGATATAGAAGGGAGAGTTCTAGAGAGAATCAGACATAATAATTGGATTGGTGACAGTAAGAGACAGCAAAACAGTTCTAGAAAAAAATATACTGTTGTAGCTGGCGAGACAACAAAGGAACAGAAAGCCTCCACTAGAATGATTCTTTCCAGTGGTAGGTGAACCGAAATTGTGTTTAAAAGTGACATTCAAGGTTAAAACTTGCGAATAGATCAAAAGCATATACCTGTTCACTCATAAAATTTAATCAAATTGAAGCCAAGTAGAGAATAGCATCCATAACCTATTCTAAGGACACTTGGCGTGTCGAACACGCGCGTGTAATAGAAAGGCTACGTACCCATAGATAACTGGTGCAAGGGTTGAACAGCCATCTTTTGGATGTATCACTTCCAACGATAAAGGGAAAACTAATGACCCGGGCAGATTAAATCACGCTTGGGGACGGATCTGAACGAAAATAAATACACCGCTGTCGCCGCAATCGCAGCAGAAACAAAAACATCGAATTCGCGCCACACCTTCTTCAACTGTTCAATTCGATTCAGTTTGGCCAATATGAAAAAAAAACAACAACTGAAAACAAAGCGGCTGGTTTTGGAAAACCAAGGACAAATATTGAAACAATAAATATTCTTTTTTATGCGTCAAAAAGATTGCTTTTATATCATTCAAATGACCGAATGAAAAAGGACCTAGCGGACATCGGGGAGGCAGACTTGTTGGACTTCCCTCTGTGGCAGCTGGCGCAGGTGGCGGGTTGTGTTCGAACACTTTACAGCAGCTGTCCTCGACATAGTCATCGAGCAGTCGTTAATGTTTTGATGGTGATGAGGGCGTGTGAAGGTACCGATTGCTGACGTGGGAGTTAGGGGGGGGGGGCGCTGTAGAAAGGGTGGCCTACATCTCAGGCGCACCGATCGAATGAAAGGCTAGTCTTCCAGCAGAAAATTGTGACAGTTAAGTTACAGTTCCTCGGACAAGCCCGAGTGAGGAAGGGAAGCGAAAATAAAACCTAAACCTTTTATCCTCAAATTTTGGTGAGATAATCGCAATTTTGTTCGATACAGAGCCTTACCGCTGGCGGCGCCCAGGGTTGGTTTTGCAAGTCCATTTCCCCTTCGTGGCTCTGGCCCTCCAATCGGGAAGGAAGCGATGTCTTATGTCTTATGGATGGCGCTAGGTGCTAGGCACTCAGGCGCGTACTAAGGCGGGATAGGGGTCACACACAGGTCGTGACCCCACACCCCTCCAAACTTAAATGTACGCAACCCACGGAACAACGCGCCCGAATGTAGGCATGCAACCACTGAACTTAGGCGCCCAGTACAATCCTCCTAGGTAGGCATCAACGTCAACCCGCCTGGCAAAAATGTGCCCGAGGCAAATCCGGGCATGCGCCTGCTTGCCGCCACCTGGCGCACAACCTTGAGTTGAGGCAGGTGCGGTCGGGACAGCACAGCCGAGCGGTTTGTCGCTCTGATTCTCTCGCACCGTGATGGAGAGCTCCATGGGTGCGACAGAGACACAGCGTCTCTTTTCGCCGCAAACGCTGCCCTCATCTCACGCCGTCACGTTCCGCACCGCCACGCCCCAACTCACGAGATCTCGCCAAGCATCCCGCAAATTGTGTGAGAATCGTTAATTTCCTGGTCGCTCCGTCGCAGTGGAAGCGAGACAGAATTCGCCAAAAAGGTGCTGTGGTGATGTGTCCGCGCTCCGGTTGGCTCCCGGCGAGGACCAGACGAACCAGGGTAGGAGTTGAAAAGTAGCCTCGTCTCGAGCCCCTTGGCTGGCAGGCTAGGAAACGGAAACTTGTCCGAAGAGAGGCTTGAGAGACGACGAGAGACGTGTGACCACCGACCCGGGAGACGTGTGAACAAACAGTGGGAAATCAGAAACAGTGGCGTGTTGCTCGAAGTGTGAAGAATGTCAGGACACGTTAGATGAAATAACTCGTTTGTTATGCGGTGGACTTCGAACAGAACGCGTCTGAAATGGCTGTCAACCTATTCAAAGTGGTTTTAGTTGTAATTCACGTGATCTTCGACATTTATGCCGAGGCCCGGCGCCTTTTTCGCTATGCTATCCAGTATTTTGAAGATTTCTGCTTCGGCCCGTGGGGTTTGAAAGCAGAGCTGGACTATGTTCATCGAAATAAGGCGCCTCTAACAAAGCCTATGTCACACATAGCCGTTATCCTGGGCAGTGAAGTGGTTTCGATCAAAGACATTGTGAGGATTGCCCTGTGGAGTCATGCTGCAGGAGCTTCATATGTCAGCTTTTACGATCATTCAGGTGAGTTTGAAGCTGGGGAACATTAATTTTCTTTGACTTTAAAAGTTCAAATGATTCCGACGGCTAGGAGGGCCAGGGGCGTACCCGCTTGCCTGACGGCTTGTAGGTTATGTTCCCCTCTCCCTAGGTTGTGAAGGTACCTTTGTTGATTCCCAAGATCCGGTCTGTGTCAGTAAATATGTCAGAAACGCAAGTTGTTACACATTTGCTCCGTTTTTTTCCCGAACGTCACGTCTTAAGCTAAATATATAACTGCTGAAATTAAGTTTTGCTAGTTTCAAGGGTGGATCGTTATATCAAATTACTTCTTTTTTGCGTGTTCTGTTCTATTAAAACTTGCTGCTCATTAATGCCTTTCTTAACTTCGAGTTTTTTATTATGTTTTATTTCTGTTGAAATCGCATTGCTATTATGATGTAACGTCCTACCAGATTTGCTCGTCAAAATGGCGTTGTTTTATATTTTCCTTTATGAATAAACCGACTATTTTCATCAACAGGTAAATTGAAAAAGTGTAAATCTGCATTGGATGAGGCGTTAACATCAGAATGTCAACCTAAGAGCCATATCCCCAGAACAAATGGTTATAAAAATGGTATGTTTGGTATTACTTACGTCGTTTGCTTCTTGATCTTGTTTGAACACTGCTCATATTGTTGATTTTGGTTTCAGGAATTGCAGGCAAGCAATATCCCCACGTCATGTTGTTCGATATAACTGATGGCAAAGCAGGTATAGCAAGAATAGCCAGGGAGCTGTGCGAGAAAGCTCTTGCCAAAGAAATAACACACAATGATATAAACCTTAAATTCCTTAATGAAATTGTCCTAAGAGAAGCAGGTGTTCCAGAACCTGAACTGGGAATCTATTGTGGTGATATTTGCTCCACCTATGGGTTCTTGCCTTGGCATTCAAGAATTACTGAGTTTCTGTGAGTACTTCTTTGTTTATTCTCTGCTTGTTTATTATATATCTAGACCAAGGCAACACACCTGTTCTGACAGCCATCTGATGTAAGACAATTTTTCTCTTTTCTAGACCCATCAGTAGTCATCATAATGTGTCAGTGCGGACCTTTGTCTCTGTTCTTAGAAGATTTAACAAATGTGAGCAGAGACTAGGAACATAAGTCTTCTAAAAAACATGACCTGCTGTGTGTTAGAGGCTTTCAAAGACTGAAGTACATATGCCCAATTCTGAGCTGTCTTCACAGACTATGGTTTTTGTTTCCCCAATCAAAAATTGCCTTTTTCAGAACACAGGTTTCTCATGGTTATGTATTGTTTCTCTCTTTTATTCTTTGTTAGACTAGATTATATACAACTGTGTGCTTCCAAAATATTTATTTATTTGATTGCTGTTTGTTGGTTAATTTGAAGAATTTGGAGTTGTGTGATTTCTAACTCATAGCTTAAACATTTATGAAGGAGTATAAGAGGAAGTAATTTGTAAGAAGTAAAATGAATTTTATGCTTTTATGGGCAAGCTTTTGCAATAAGAAGTGGCATGTTTCTCCCTTAAGTCGCAAAAGTGACTGTGGTATTGTACCCAATTATTTTCTTCCATGCAGTTTTTTTGTAAGTTCCTGTTGATTGGATTTCTTCAGTTTGCACCAATCACATTTGGAATCCTGGGTCGTTTTTATTTTAAATAATTAACTGGTATTGCCTATTAATTTTCATGGTTTGCTTTCTGCAGCTTTAAAAGTTGGGTCTGTCCAATATATTGTCCCCCTCTTCTAATCATTCATGAAATCAAAATATATTAGCCATACAATTTGAAAGACACAAATCTTGTGTCTGCATCAAAGTTTTGAAAGATGTTTTGTTTTCAAGATCTTGTACAATTTTTGTTAATAGCTCCCCAAAATAGGGTAGAAATGGTCTCTTGCCGCTTCTGCTTTCCGCCTTTTCTGTCAGCAACCACAATATTTCTGAACAAATGTATTCAAATGACAACAAAAAGGTTCTCGTGTTGATCAAGATAGAAGATATGTTACCATCACATTCCAGGTCATCATTTCTGTAATAATAATACTGAATAAATGATCATGTTAATTGTTTTTAATTTGTGAGTTGATACTCTGAAAATGCCATACCATTCAGCTCCTTTAGTCTGTGTATTTTGTTCCGGATGGGGGCTGTCTGTGCCCAAAGATAGTCATGTTCACAGTGCCTTCTGCACAAGTTTTGCATAATGACCCTAGTGCTATCAGCACTACAAGCAACGTCGGCCGATTATTTCTGCTTGCGTGTGCTTTTGCCGGCAAAACGGCAACGAAGACCAAGCAGAGCTTACTTTTTCCCATTCTATCGCCCAAGCAAAGCCACTTTCTAACAGAAGTAGAATTATTTCTGAAATAATTTTGCCCCTGTCCTCTGCCCATCTCAGGGTTCAATTTCAGTGTAACAAGCATATTTGTGGGCGTTATTGATTGAGACAGGATGAGAAAGAAAAAAACTGAAGGGAGGGGGGACATAAAGGGTTTTATGTGGGGGTTGGACAGCTTAAAGAAAAAGATCGGTAAAGTAGGGAAATCCTCCAAAGGTGGCAGTGGTACAGTAGTGAGTGGACTTGGACAGGAGGACTCGGTGGACCCCACCCCGAAGGCATCACCCGAAGTTCCTCTTCGGGCTTCGGGCGCAGTCGGGTGGTGCTTGATGTGTTGCCTACCCGTGATGTGACGGGCGGCAACGGCAAGCAGAAAAGATCGCTGGTTGTATTTCTTTTTCGAAGTATGACAGAAATTTTGCGAATGACAATTTAACTTAAACCTGCAAGGGAAGAAAGGCAGCAAAATGAGTCGCGTACCTAATGATGAGGCGGTGCAACTCACCAATGACGACGCAACAGAGTGCAAACAATCAGCTGTTCAGCTAGGTTATTGGCAGGATCCTTACCTGTTTTATTTTGCTCGATCAGCTGAACGAAAGCCACCAGAAATAAATAGGGGCTACTTTGCTCGGAAAAGAGGTATTGAACTACTCGTCGAAAAGTTTCTCAAGGTAATGGAGTCATGGTTTGATAAATGCAATATTTTCTGTTAGGGTATGTGCTATTTTTCTGTTAGTCTTGGGCTATGTTCAGCTTTGTTGAATGAAATTATTTTTTCTTCAGGATACTAATCTGGGTTTAATGTTTCACTTTTTAGCTTACAAACTGCCAGTGCCAAATTGTTAACATGGGCGCTGGATTTGATACATTGTACTGGCGACTCCAAGATGCTGGGAAAGCTGTTACCAAGTTGATTGATTTGGACTTTCCAAATGTCACTGCAAGGAAATGTCATTTCATCAAACGCCACAAACCTCTCATGGATAAACTTAATCTAGGAGGCAAGTGCTTACGATGCATTATGAACACAGTATCCGTTAAAATATTTGAATGAAACGATATTAATACAGCATCTTTTTCGCCATTTTAGATGGGAAATCATTCACAGGTGTAACAGACCTCCATGCGGGGAACTACCATATTGTTGGTGTTGATCTAAGACAGCGTTCAGAATTCATTTCTGCCTTACAACAATGCGAAATAGACTTTTCTCTGCCCACATTATTTCTCGCAGAGTGTGTTTTAGTTTACATTGAAAGTGCGTTTGTTGATGAAGATTTGAAATGGATATCATCCAATTTTGAATCTGTTGCTTTCATTAACTATGAGCAGGTAATTTAAAAGTAAATTAACCAGATGTGTTTGTAGGAACTCTGTTTTTAATTTCATGGTAAATTTGCTGAATGTTGTTGCAGATTAATATGAATGATCGATTTGGAGAAGTTATGAAACAGAACTTGCGTCTGCGGCAGTGTTCCTTAAGCGGTGTTGCTGCTTGCCAAAACTTGGATTCTCAACGTAAAAGGTATATCATGTCAACCCAAACAGACTGTAGGTAATGAACTGTTGACTAATTTTGAGCAATCTCTATAATAGGTTTACAGACAACAACTGGGATGGATCACAGGCATGGGATATGGTTGAAGTATATGAAAGTATACCTGCAATTGAAAGGCAACGAATTGAAAAAATTGAATTCCTGGATGAACAAGAGCTGCTGCTGCAACTGTTTCAACACTACTGCATCTGTGTGGGATGGAAAGGAGCGAAACTTAGTCAAGTAAACTTTGATGGATGAAGAGGTCACCTATTCATTTATCTGGTCAGTCTTTTTAAGTCATCTACCAAGTCTTTTTTGTTATAGAATTGAGTTACAACCCAAAACCTACATAGAATGGTTTGTTTAACTGTTCAGATTTTGAACCATTTTCGATCTTCAGAATTGTGAAATGTTATTTGATCTTGTCTAGATTTACTTTCTTCATTGACTGATTGCAAATACTAAGTGTGATAATTGTCTGTTGTACTCTTTGTAAGTTTTGTGATTAATGTAGCCTACTTTTCAAAGCCAGTATTTTTGTTTCCTTCAGTGTTTACTAGTTTATTTGTTGATACCCATTGAAAGGAAGTGTACTTAAATTCAAGAATCATGTAAGCAATATTTCTCAATGAGTGTAATGTAGGGGAAGTAGGACTAGAAAAATCACATCATAGGACTTCGCTTTTTTTTAAGTTTTATTGTTTACTTTTGCCTTATTTAGGCTGATGGAAATTCTGAAAGACACTAAGAAATAATGCCATTATCCACCAATGGCGATTTTATTGAAGTCTATTATATTTCTTCAGAGAGCATTATTTTTACCTTAACATGTGATAAGGTTTTCTGAGTTAAAATGTGTTAGCGAAGAAGTCTAATAACAGACATGTTAATTTAGAGTATCTTTGCTTATCTGACTCTGATCCTCCTGTGCTTATACGTTTTAACTATCTGCACATTACTTATAAATTTGCCTTAGACTAGAAACATGCTTCCACATGTCTTTCATGTATAAATAAAAGAAAAACCATCTTACATGTATTTTTTTTTCATTCAATTCTGTTACAAAACATTCTTAAAATATCACATATAAATACTAGTTTAAACCTTTGTGCAACAAGTTCATTACATTAAAAACATGTCTAAATCACAATCTTGTTTTTCTCTTTAGCTTCATTCTAGGAACTAGAGTTAGTGAAATTGTATGTAACTTAAAGGAATGGTAGCAGTCAAAATTTTCATTGTTGGCTGTTATTCAAATTAGCTTTGTGCTTTTCATTTTCTAGGAACCATTGACGTTTCCCCACTGCAAACTCGAGCCAATAATCTGCAACCAAAACAAAGCCAGTTGAAAATATCTTAAGGTATTGCTTTGGAAGTGTTATTGAGAGAGCATATTTTTAAAATTATCAGACCAACCTTTCAGTTCCTGCAAAGTTCCACAAGTGCCACCATACTCTTCTGGAAGGATTGATGGAGAAACTACTTTATGCAGTGAGCTTATACTCTTTCCATGCACATGGACCTGAAAAAGGTAAGAATAAGTCAGGAATTGAATTTTGCCTCACAAACATGCAAATGTTTCCAGAGACTTACTCTTTTCTTTAGTTTGTCATTCATAAATTTTCTGAATATATTTAAAACAACATTAACATAAACTGGTGCATTTATAAAGTCCATGCTCCTCGTGCGGACTGGATAGCAGTCCTGAAATCGTTAAACATTTCAATAGTGATGTTGGAGTCATACATTTCTATGTCATATAACCACAGTGAATATACCTGCCATGCATGGACAGCTTTTTTAATTAAAGGAGGGGTAAGGTGTAAAGCATGCCCTAGAGATACACCACTCAGATCAACAACAGCAAACACTCCATAAATTGACATGATTTCGTCAGTCTCTAATAGCAGATCGACTAGCATTTTGCCAATTTTGAAGACATCGGACTGTTTGTGCTTATAGGGATCGTGAATTGCCGCTCTTATTAGTACAATGGTCCGTCCTTCAGCATCCTTCTTTCGCAGTGGCAAAAACACCCTGTAAGAGCATTTCAGTATCAGTTTAAAGTAAAAGTATTTCCTGAAAATATCTATCACAGCGATGTAGCATCAATATAAATATTCTTACCCCATCTTTAGAAGGTCCATTAAGGCAGGGAGAGTTGGATCCCGTTGGTGAAACCATTCCGGGACTCTGCTCCGCATTTCGTAGTAGTTTGTGATCTTGCGCCGAGCGCGGTCCTGCTTGTACTTGCAACCCCTCAGGAAGCAGGTGAGGCTCCAGTCATCTAGAAAACACCAATTGGATATGAGTCCTGTTTGTGGGAGTCTGCCGAGGCAGGTGTGGGGAGGCTGGCCGACTGACCGGTGCGGGCGTTGAGATGCGGCTGCGTGTGCAGCCACTGCCGCAGCTCCTCCACGGCGGCCGCGCGCTGGTCCTCGTCCTCGGGCTCGTTGAGGTGCTGCTCGGCGTGCCGCAGCGCCTGTCCCAGCAGCACCTCGTCTGCCTCGGCGCTGCCCGCCCCCGCGCTGTACGCCAGCGTCGGCTTGGGCCTGGGCATGCTGCGCTGAGAAAGAGAGCGGGGACCAGCTGGGACCCACAGGGCCGGCCGAGTAGCGTCAACGGAGTGGCAACGGACGCCTGGAGCAGGACACAACACAGGAGTAAAGCAGTGCAGTGGAGTGGAAGAGGCGTCGCGGGGCGGCGTGGGGAGGGGCGAGGCGTTTGATTAGATAAGCAGAAAGTGGCATGGCACTAGTCCCACGCTCGCCCACTACAGACTCGGTCCCGGTTCTCTCTGCCCCGCCGTCTGGGGCTGCTTCGCTGCTTGGGGCTAGAGGCCCTCGACCTCCATTCGATCTCCACTCCACAGGCGTGACGCGCGTCGCGGTGACTGGCGGTGACCCACCGCGACACTAGAGTTCCATGTTCCCTAGCTATCCTCGTCGCACCACTGTCGGGCCCATGGCGGCCCATGGCCAGGCGACCCGGGGAAGCGCGCCCGTCGTTCTCCACCTCGGACGCATCCGCCTGGCTCTGCCTGGGGCAAGTGGGTAATTGCACTCTTATACTGCGCGCCTGGCTCGGCTCGGCGGCTCCGCTCTCGGCCTATGCGAACTAGGTCGGAATGGGCGGGTCGAAAAGCCCCAAGTTCCCAAGAAAGTAGTTTGGGACTTCCCTAGCGTGAGGGAGGCGTTAGGCTGCACTCTTGGTAGGGAGCAGAATTGTTCCGGGAGGACAGGAATGAGAAGTAAAAGATACTGAAAGTTTGATTCACCATACAGCTGGAATTCCCTTACACTGCAGCCAAATGTTGTTAACTGCATAATGGCATCAGGGGGAAACCAGACACTTAACTACGGGCTGGCTACAATTGGGGGGGGGGGGGGGTAAAATGCCAATAGAGTAATACCTCTTTTGTGCTTTGGTTGCATATGGCAAAAATTTTAATTCTTTACAACACAAAATACGTAAGGACATAAATGTGACAGCTGCAGTAGCAAATGGGAAAACTTTACACAGACAAAGCAAATAGAACTGATTTATAAATCATTAGATCATTTCAGTTCCGAAGAAAAAAATGTACACTGATTGAAATGTTGTTTCTTAATCGTTCACTCCAAATTATAGTCGAGTAATCATCTATCGATAGAACTACCCTCAAAACCATTTGTGAAGGCCCTTTCAAAGGTGCTATTTTTCTCCTCCTCTCTCTACATAAATTTCATTCAACAAGGGAACGCTCGTAAAAAGAATAAACAACTACAATTTTTTAAAAGACAGGTTGCTGACTGAAGTGCTACTTGGCACAGGTTAAGAAGTATGTCACAGAGCCCGAAGTTCTCTCAGTCCCTTGTACGTGGGCTAATATTCTAATTTTCAGGAAAGGCGCTCAGCACATTATAGGTGGAACGGCGGAGTTGATTCATGTTCGGCCCATAACTTACGTCCTGCGGCACTGTCGTCTGGTCCTTTGATATTTCTTCCTTTTTATTTACAAACAATAATGTTTCTAAAATTGCCGCCAGGTGGCGCTAGATGATCTATAGGTAAAAGCATTGCCAACACTAGAAGCGAAGTAGTGGTTGTGTTACTATATATTCTGTGAATACATGTCGCCGTCGCTGAGTCTTGTTTTCTTTTAAAACTTCATCTTTATATTTTGATTTAATTTTTCAGTTGTTATCATTTGTACACTGAGTTAAATATTTTGTTATTTTGTTATTCTGTTGGTGCTATATTGCTTGGCTAGTCGTCGGTGTGAATTTGAGATGCGAGCAGAACCCAAAATATTGTCGTGTATGTTATTTTGAAAAAAATTTCCGTCCACTATGGACGAAACCGACGAAACAATGAAGCCCTCTTCAAAAAATACATCAGAAAGCATTTCTGGAATTTTTAAAGATTTTACTTGTAGAGTTTGTCTCTATAGACATGAAGATAATTTAGAAATTTCAGATCATTTGGACACTTTTGTTGAGTACATTTCAAAGCATCTATGTTTCCAGGTAATTGCTTGCTGTTATTTGCAACCTATTTTGTCTTCACTTTTTTTTAAATTTTTTCCGTTGCCATTTCAAATTTATTGCAAGTCTATAGTGTTTGTGTGAGGTTAGGCACCTGCTGTGTGTACTTCAGCTCGATTTGTTTGTGTGTTTCTCAGGTTGGCTCCGAAGACAAGTTTCCCATGTGGATATGCAAATTTTGCCAACAATCTCTTCAGTCATTCCACAAGTTTTATGTCAAAGTTTCACAGATTCAGGAAAGCTTTACAAATTTAATATCAGTGTTAAAAGAATCACCGAGAAAGTTGGATGAATCCCCAACGTTAGATGCAGAATTTGATGCCATTGACTTGACCATTGGTTTCCATAGAGGAAAATCACAGCAGTCTGTTAAAAAGCTGAAAGAAATTTCACCTCGAACGATAAGCACCAGAAGTAGTTCAAAGATGGCAAAAAGCCCAATTTATAGCAAAAATTGTACACTGGATCTGAGTAAAAAGAAAAACGAAAAGGAACTACAAAAGATTGTTGAAATTGACAATAGCCATCCCTGTGAAGGCAATGATGATGTATTGAATTATCAAAGTGGCATTGAAAATAACAGTGTTTCTAATACTCAAGACTCAAAGGATTCTAAGGAGTTGATTATGCTGGAAACAGCTGGAAGTTCAGAGATCCCTTCTAAACGAGGGAAGAGCAATAAAGATGATGACTTAAGCTCTTTGGAGGTAAGAAATCATTTTATTCCAAGTACAAATGCTGCATGAAGTGGTTCCATACTAAAGTTGATGTTCTTTTTTTCTATCCTAACTATCCAATATTTTACAGGACCAAGACTGGGTGGGCCAAGGACTTACTTTTGACATTGGTTCGGATGACTCCGCTGATGATACTTGGAAACCAGCTGGTAAGAGTAAAAGAAAGATTGGTTCTGAGGACTTTTGCAGTGACGATACTTGGAAGCCAGCTGTTAAGAGTAGAAGAAAGAAATCTGATGAACAAAGTGTGGAAGATACTTCCAACCAATTAGAAACTTGTGATGATGACAAGGATATTTCAGATGAGGATGTTGATGCTGTTAATCCAAAAGCCAAGAAATGTAAGATTAATTAATAGATTGTAAAGCCATGCCAGTTAATCTGTTTTTGTCTCACGTTTCCTTCACTTTCATCCTCAGCTAAATTAAAAATAACAGCAACACATGGAACTGGTCCTAAGCCCAAATTGACTCCTGAAGTAAAAAGAATCATGCGGGAGGAAATAAATGCTAAATTTGTTGAGTTTTACGGCATTTCATGTGATATTTGTGTTAAAGATGTCAGAGAAAACTCCCTACCAATTGAACCTGCTAAGTTTGATTCGTTTGTCGCTCTTTGTGATCACATGAAAGCTGAACACAACGTTCGAGGGTATGTTAAATGTTGCAATTGTACTATGCGTGATAAGAAGCGGGCTGAGAGGCACATGCTACTCCACACTCAGCCAGGATCTATCTTCAAGTAGGTATTATACTACAGCTTTTCCTTAATAATGTTTTCATGAGATGTATGCATTACATTTATTTGATTCATTTCAGGTGTAATATTTGTGGGAAACAACTTTCAACTCAGCAGAGTTTTAGATCCCACATTTTACTTCACCTGCCAGATAATGAGCGACCCTTTCAGTGCAGTCAGTGTGACCGAGGGTTTGCTACCAAGCCTGACTTAACCCTTCATGAACGTCAGCACTTGCCTGAGGATGAAAGACTCACTTGTACTTGTGACATCTGTGGAAGCAGGTAAAAACTTTGACTTATTGTTTTCTCAAACACTTTGTGATTCCTGTTTACGTATTTTAATGTATCTCTCTAACTTTGTTTAAGGTTTGGTTATGAAAGTGGTTTGTTATTACACAAGCAACGTGTGCATGGAAATAATCGGCCATACTTATGCGATCTTTGTGCAAAGAGCTTCAAAAGTCGATGTGACATGGAACGTCATAAAGCTCAGACTCATGGAGAAGTGAAACGTGAACAGTGTCAAGAATGTGGCAAATGGTAGTATGCTCTCTCTGTTTCTGTTTAGGATAAGCTTGAAAGGTTCAGATGAACTTATCCTTGTTCTTCTTTGTCCATCTAAAAATTTCAGGTTCAAAGGGAAAAGTATTCTGAAAACACACATGCGTCAGCATTCGGGTGCACATTTCCCATGTGAACATTGTGATAAAACATATTCTGTACGCTCTTCTTGGAAAGCTCATCAGTTAACTCACTCAACTGAAAAAACACATATTTGCCCTGTCTGTAACAAGGCATTCAAGCTACCTGGTACATTGAAGGTATGTGTGGCAAATTTTCTTTTCATGCTTTTATTTCTGCTGGTGTTTGGTCAACTTTTTCCAAATTCTATGTTACTGTATTTGAATTTCACTCTCCATTTCATGAATATTAACTAGCATGATTTAATTGATGTGTGTATTTGATCATTTACAGATGCATTTAAATCAGCATACAGGAGAACACCCGTACTCCTGTCCTTTCTGTCCCAAAACTTTTGCCAGCTCAGGTAATTACTACACTCATAGGAAAAGGATGCACCCTGAAGAAGTTGCTTTATTGAAGAAGAACCATGAAGCTGCACTTGCTGCGAATGGACTGCCACCTCCTCCTCCGGGTCCACCAGTAGTACCTCAGAGTTTATCAGAAGCTATTGAACAGACAAAGCAAAAGGTTGCAGCCCAAGGGATAACCATTCCTATAGTTGATGAAAACATTACGTCCCTTAATGCTGATGTACTGTCAAATGATATTGAAGATTCTGATGTTGTTCCACCTTCAGCCACCATTTTAACAGAAAAAAGTGTTCTTACTAATGCTGTTATCATGTCATCTGGTTCTGTGCCGGACGTAAATTTTCTTGTGGCTAATGGTTTGAGAATAGTTCGTATAATTTCTCCAGAAGGCACTACTAAATATTCATTAGGGAGAAAAGGCGAAGACACATTAAACTTGGCCCAATCACAACTGTCTTTGGGCCCTCAATTAATCCAGGTCGATTCTGGCATTACACAGGAGAATAATGACCCTGAAGAAAGTGGAATGCCTTTTTCAGTTCTCTAAGTTGTTTATCTCCAGACTGTTTTTAATTTACCTAACAGAAGCATGATAGGCCTACTATCATAATAGTTTTTAAATAAGAACTGTATGAGAAGTAATAAGGAAAGACTCGATAGCAGGTATGCTATTTATGATGTTATGATTCAATAAAAAAAAGGTTGCCCCACCAGCCAGTAAATGGTGTTTCTTATTCTCCGAATTGATCCAGTTTGAAGAACACTCGGGCCGAAATATTAGAAGCTGTTTGTAAAAAGGACTTTGAAAGGAAAAAACTTGGGTTAAAATAGGAGAGGGGTCTTCAAAATCAAAACAAAGCTTGTATTTTATTTATATTTATTAAAATATTTTTTAATCATATAAATAACACTTTGCATGAATTGTGCGAAACATTCGCAGACATCATGGGCTGATCTGTCCTATCAAAGCAGACATATCAATCGGTAACGCACAAGCTGGGCAAGAGCACATCTGGCATGAGGTATGTTTAATTACATGGAATCCTAATCAACAGAGGAGGAGTAAATTTTGCTTCCAATATATTTTTGCTTTTAACATTCAATTATGTATCACCGGTATCTAAAAGAACGGGTACGGCGGCTCATCAATTACACAGCTAACTTCTGTAGTCTATGTTCTGAAATATTAAATTATTTTTCACTGGTAGAGATTTACATTATTTTATTTTAAAAAAGGATAATTTTTACATGTTTTTGCAAACGAAAAGTAAAATTCATTTCAATGTTTAAGATTTGCAGCGATTTCTAAAACAAAATCTTGGATAAAAATTATCACGGCTAGTCAGCCTGCCGAACACATATATCCTTAAACTTATTGGTAACACACACTTACTAATACAACACAGGAAGATACAAAGCGTTTGCTTTCATGGAGGTTGCAACACCTGCCATGACCTTTTAATTTGATAGGTTTGCAGAACCAATCACAGACAATTAAGACATGAGCAATTCTTGCGCCCTCAAAAAAACACACTTACCCTCACACACATAAAAATACAAGCATAATATTCCTACAATTTTTTACACAACATAATCTTCATTGGTTCGCAATCAGTTTTAGAAAAAGCCTGGAGAATGCAAGTTGGATGGAAATCAGACTAATCATGCTAGAAGTGCTGCTGTTATGCATAACTGCTTCTAAAAGGCGCATTAAAGTCTTGAAGATGTACCAGGAATGGGCACATTAATATCACTATTCTCATTCCTATTTGCTCACATACAAATTTATACACACAGACACACACACACACACACATACATTCACACAATGATACAGTCACACATGCATTTTTCTTACAAAGACGCTTGGGGCAATAGACAGTGTTTCCTCAACAAGTACCCCAAGCGAGACCACTATAATTCTAGATATGCCTGGGAGGCGGAACCGAAACTGGGACGAGATCTCAACGTTGGAGTGTCGTCTCAATCTCGGCATGTCAGACTGTGACTTTGCCCCCTTGCACTTCTCCAGAATCAGGAAACTTACAATAAATTTATTAAATCTAGGCTGATTTAAATATACAGTGGCTCAGCAGGTACCATGGCCATGAGAGGCATGTATCAAGGATTGGCCAGCCAGAGATGAGACTGGACTGTTTTTGTAACATTTGTATTGGCACTAGTTTCATGCTGTGGGTTTGAAACGAGCAGCGAGGTATACATTTGTTGACAGTGTACTAAACATATGTTGAAAAAGTACAAATTTAAAAGCAAATCTACCAAAAATTACAAAATAAACAAAAAAAGAAAGGAAAACTGGGCTCAAATTCGAAATAAATAAAAATATGGCTATTCGAATTGAATTAATTCCTAGGGTGCCTCAATAAAAGACCGTGACAAAGAAGCCCAGAAAATAACTTACGCTCCTCATCTTGAAGGAAAACAAGCAACCACAGTTTCAGTGACAGACAAAGAAGGCGGCCGCCGCGTGTACTACAGCAGTTCACCAAGCTGCTTGTTCGGCCCTTGGCGATTTTCTTTTTTTTTTTTAATTTGGAGGAAAGAAGAGGGAAAGCGAGTCCATTAGTCGGTGCCGATGTCGTTGTCCACGCGCGAGTTCCTCACGCCAGACTTGCCGGTCCAGGGGTACACGTCGGGGCAGGGCTGGCACGTCCTCATGTACCGCACGCCGGACTTGTGCCACAGGTTGCACACCTTGGGGTTGTTGCAGCGTCGGGGCCGGTCCTGGAAGCACGCAACAAAATGATAGAAAACGGGTGGGGGTCCTGGAATAGTCACTACTCTAGGACTCTAGGGTCGACCTGGCGGGCTGCACCGGACAGCTCCGCGAGAAGGCGCCTGCGAACTCGGGGGTAGGCTGCCCGCCGCACACGCGTGCGCGACGGCGCGGGGTGGGGCCTACCTGCCAGGCGCTGACCGAGGACGAAGACTCACCTGGTAGTTGCACTGGAAGGGCTGGAAGTTGTTGAGGCGGCTGATGGGGGTGGGGTCGCGCACCCATTGCAGGGCCTGCCAGTTGGTCACGAGCCAGACGTCGTTCATGGAGACGAGGGTGTCGAGGAAGGCGATGAAGCCCTCCTTGTGGTGGGGCTGCGTGAACCAGGCGGCGTGGTAGAACAGGCCGAAGGGCGCGCGGTTCGTCGTGTAGTGGCGCTCGAAGTTCTTGATGAGCATCTTGTAGACGCCGTCGGACGTGGGCGGGTTGGAGCACGCGTCTCCCATGGAGCAGCGGCCGCCGTTCAGGTCGGTCCACATGACCATGGGCACTTCCCAGACACCTGGCAAGGGAGGGAACGGAGGCATTTAGCATTGTGGTGCTCTGTTGCTTTTCTTTTCGAAAACATAGACAAACGGTTAAGCAATTCAGGGGAAAAAACAACATACCTGGGTAAGACCTGGTCGGGCAAGGGGGGATCATGCAGTCGTGGAAGAGCTTGTAGTCCAAAGTGTAGGGCCAGCTAGGGGGCTTGTTCTCGTACACGGGCATGGAGGAGTCGTAGGTGAAGTTGGAATCGTACAACATCTTGAACATCTTGTTGCCACCGACCTGACGACGAAAGCGTACAGGTTTGAAAACCTCAGCTGATCGCTCAAGTAGTTGCATTCGATGAACATTTGTTTCCACTCACGGCGAGGAAGGGGGCTCGCATGCCACGGATGTCCTCCTGCTTGACGCCTCCATAGGCGGCCAGAATCTCACGCTGTCCTGCCACTTCCTTGGTCCATTTCTTCTGGGAGAACTGCTCACCGAAGCTGTGCCTGGAAGCGTACGGCGGGGAGAGTTTTAGTCCGTTCACTGGGAGCGCCGGGCCCCGATCATCAAAGCCTTGCATTCTATCAATAGTAAATAGCGAAATGGTGGCGGCCATAGCGTTATTCGAAAATTAGCAAATCAATTCCGTAGAAATGGAAAATAGTTGGTAGCGAGCAAGCTTTAAACTCGAAGAAGTATCGCTCTCGGCGAAGCACTGCCTGCGTCTCAGCAAGCTTCTGCATTATTTACAGTCGAAAGAACGGAACGAACATGGCCTTGAAAGAGGTGCTCTGGGGCGCCACCGCATTCCATGCAGCACAATCACAATCAAGTGACGCCCGAGAGCACCGACCGAGTGCAACACCCCCCCGGAAAGATTCAGAACGAGAAGAAACACGCCTCTCCGTTCCACATGGACAGACAGGACAAGAATGGCGGGGGGGTGAGTGGGTGACGGCGGAGAGGGTGGCGCTATGGTACTGATGACGGGTTTGGTGCGAGATGACGGATGACGGTGCATGATGGTGCATTACTAGATGACGCGGTGCATGGCCATGCCATGGCTGCGGCGACGACGGCGACGGACTTACGATACGGAGTGCGAGGCGATCTCGTGGCCCGTCGCGTACAGGCTCTGCACCTGTCCGTAGTCCGTCCATTCGTGAGACACGTAGAAGGTGGCGGCGATGGGGCAGCCGTTGGGGTTGGTGCGGCCCTTCTCGAACAAGTCCGCGTAGAGGCCCTTGTTCAGGTCGTTGACGGAGTCGTCGAAGGTGAGCAGCACGATCTGGGGCACCTCCTCGGGGAGCAGGTCACCTGTATGGCGCCGCCGCACAGGCCAGCGGGTGGGGATGGGTGGGGTGAAGGATGATTCGGGGGTCGGTTCAAAGAGGGGGTGAAAATCGCGGAAATGTTGGGTGGAGATAATTTCGGGGGGAAAACGAGCAGAGATTCGAGGGGGGGGGATGAGTTTGGTGGCGCGACAACGGTGGCCGAAGAGGACAGGAAAAAGGAAACAAAAAATATCCAAGTATGAGCGAGAGCGAGCAAAGATATGGCGCCACACACGTGAACAGGACAGCTCCAGCACCGTCAACACATTCCAGAAAACACACAGACACACGTGTTCGTGCAAGCAGCAGGCAGTAAACATGGTCCCGTTCAGAGCAGAGTTCAAGTCAGGCACGGCCCCCGCAAGGCCGCGCAAGGCTTCGCAAGGCGCACGAAGGGCAGCATGGCGTAGCGTAGCCTGGCGTAGCGCAGCCAATGGGAGCCACGGAGGGCCGCACTTACGACACTGAGTGTGAGGCCATCTCGTGGCCGTCCGCGTACAGGCTCTGCACCTGACCGTAGTCCGTCCACTCGTGAGACACGTAGAAGGTGGCGGCGATGGGGCAGCCGTTGGGGTTGGTGCGGCCCTTCTCAAACAAGTCTTGGTACAGTCCCTTGTTCAAGTCGTTGACGGCGTCGTCGAACGTAAGCAGTACGATCTGGGGCACCTGCTCCGGCTCCAGGTCGCCTACAGAGTCAGCAACATGGGTTTTACTTCCCGTTCAACACGTCCTGGGTCCGCTGCTTGACAGCGTGTAAGGGTACCGAGCGACGAATCCGGATTCCTGGCCGTTTTCAAAACCCGAACCGGTTTCTATTGTCGGCCGAGTTAATCGTATCGGTTTGAACGAAACACGTGGCATTATTTCAAAATTTGTTGCCGGCATTCTAAAGGCGCTTCTACCGAGGGGGTACCAATTGGTAAATTTCGTGTCAGCCGGATAACGGATAATCCGGATTACTCACGGATTACCTTCGGTTTACATCAAAATTGTTCCTGGGTTACCTTTGGCTCACAGTATTTCCTCGGACTACCTCAAAATTTACCCGGTTTACCCCGAATTGCCTCAAAATATCAGGTCATCCGGATTAACGATTACCAATTTGCCGTCAGCCGGACTACCGAATTCATTACCCTATCGTCACAGCACGTGATATAAAACATATCATATTCCTTAAAATAAAACAGGAGGCTGCAAGAGACGGTGTGTTACGCGCAGTGGAGGGCGAAAACCAAACTTGAGTAGTTCGAAATGATAGCATGCAACAACGAGAGAGTGACGCACCGGGAATGTCCTTGCCGCCGCAGTTGCAGTCGGGGAGGAGGCACACGTCCTTGCGGCACTTGGCGGCAGACTTGTCCGGCGTGGGGGTGGGGTACACGGACTCGGGCCTGCAACACGGAGTTTGTTAGCGAAGCCCGCGGTTCACCACACCGCGCCCTCAGCTCCTCGGCCTACTTCACCTGGAGGGAGGGTACTTGTAGATGTCGATGAACTCCTGCGCCTTGGACACGATGGCAGTGGACGGCTTGAGGGTGGGGCGGGACCCGCGCCTGCAACACAGGGACAGGGTTGCCGATCTAGAGAGCGAGGCCCACGTAGCCAATCACGCACTTTGAGATGCCGCGACCCTGCTTGTTGAATGTTCGTCTGGCGTGTCACAGTCGGTCTGAGGTTTGGCTGGTTTCACTGGTTTGGCTGGCGCCGGGGACTTCCCTCGCACCTCGGCTCTTCCTCCAGAAACACCCACGTGGTTAATCCCGACAGTGTTAATCCTGACAGCAGCGTCTTCCAGGGTCAACGCATTGACGCCGGAAGACGACGCCGACGTGACTCCGTCGCTGTTTCTTGCCGACGTGCAACAGCACTGACTTTTGGTTAAAACGGAACGAGGGAACATGCTGGCCAAGGAGCAGCTGCTATGCGAGTTCGAGATTCCATGCAGTGAGGCGAGAGAATCGATGCAAGGCGGAACAAAACCTCGGACGAGGTGCACACTTACTTACAGCAATTCTCTTTCCACAGCGAGGAAATTGTAGGTCCAAACGGCGCGCGTTTAATTTATCCACAAAGTTGAACATCGAACCATTTTTGTTTCCTCGGGTGCCATGCTGGGCACCTAATCGGCCCCGCTCGCCGCTCACCGAACTGCTGAGCGAAATCAGCGAACAAAAGCCCCGATTTTTCGAAATACTCACGCGACGGACGACGGGGTGCCTCTGTTTCCGGTCTCGGGGACGCTGGCGGTGGTGAAGGTGGCCTTGCCTCTGCCCCTGACGCTGCCCCTGCGCACACCGCAACCCGCACGTCAGCGCACAGCCTTCGCTCCTTGCTCCTCAAAATCAAACTACACTTGTTTCTTTCCTAAAGTGAGTTTTCTTTTTCAATACTTTATTTTTGCATCCCCCTCTTGCCTTATCGAAATTACTGTATGAAAATTCTTTATTTTTGAGCTATGGAGAGACATGGAGCAGAGAAGCAACTGAAGGCTGATCTGACGAGAGAAAGGCTATCAAGAATGATGACATTTCTGCCGGTAAACCTTTACGTTTACACATTTTCCACGTTTGACACACAAGCATTTCATGCAAGCTTTTTCGGGTTGAAGAAAGTTCTTATATTTTCATTTTCTTTAGAATTTTCAAATAATCATGAAGATAAAAAAAAGTTTACACTTTCATACAAATTTCAGGAGTTATTGTTACTGTTACACAAAAAAACACTTCATCACTCAATTATCCCACATGCTACCTACGCACTGTTAGGAGACACTCGAGTGTCAAAAAGTTAGCATGCTGAAAAAAAGTCCACAAACATCAGAGTATCAGAAGCAGATCCAAACATAATAAATAGAGTGCATTGATGATTATGTTCTAGGAGGTGGATGGTTAGTTGCCACCAGCTACACAAGATGGTGCATTGTGCAAATTCAAAAAGAACGACAGAGCTAAAAATAAAAGTACAACAACTGGTGGACCAAAATACAGTGCAACAAGAAATGCCATACGGGTGCGATAAGTGTGACAATGAGTTATGCAAACGTTGAAAAAAAACCTCTCAAGCACGATTCATGCATGGGGTGACTGGATGGATGAAGTGACTTTCACAATGAACCCAACTAAATACAAAATAATTCTGTTTCAAAAGGGACTTTTTACAAATTGTCTTAAAAATTGCAAGACATTTTGAAATTATAAATAGTAAATAGTTGGGTCCCATGTGTTAAATCAAGGAGGTGGACGTAGTGATGCCAGCAAATTAAAGATATGTTTTAGCTATTTTCCTGTTACAGTATTTGTCGTGAAACTTGCTGGCACCACGCGGTCAGGCGCCTTAGGTGGTCAAAGTTGCAGTCCAAAAATTTGTCAATAGGTTTGAAGTTTGCTTCATTGGTGTCCTCCACAGAGTCGTCAAGGTCCCCGTCAGTTGAAAACTTCAGCAGTGTCTGTCCCTGGAAAACACTTTTCACCAATTACACTTTACACTCGAGTTGGTCCATTTTCCTGTAAACGAGCAAAATGTTCCACTCAAGTCAGTCATTGTCAGCTCAACCGTTCTGTGTACAATTGAAAAAAAAACTGGGGTGGGGGTAGGGACTAGAAACCAGAACCAGAAACAACAATTTTTAATATAAAACGCACACGGACAGGTTAGAGACAGGATGACATTTCTTTAGTGGATACCGGTGGTGCTGTGTAGTGAGACAGATAGACTTGAGTGTCCGGTGGGGCCGGTGGGTATTCGACGAAGGGGCATAGAGGGCACAGGGGTTGTGGGGTCTAGCGTAGTGAAGCCTGACCGTGTCAGAAGGGACAGGAGAGGAAAAGAAGGTAAAAGTCCAGAGGAGGAAGCCATCCCCAAATGACACGAAATAAAAACCACTGCATGCAGATTAGACATTTCAAATGAAGAAGTGACAGGAGCGGCACCGAAGGTCGTTAGTTCAAGGAACAATGTTAATCAGAAGAGCTGTTAATTGAGAGGAGGGCCAAGGCTCATACCTCGAAATACCAGGAGTCGACAGACTATCTGGGGAGGCTGTAGTAGGCCTTAGTCTGTCGTAAAAGAAACACATACTTATTTCAGTTGTCTTGTTCACAATCCGCTTCCACTTTCGAAAAATGATTGTACTAAATGACAAGCGAAGCTACTGAAAGGATAGATTCAAGTGATGAGCAGCTGCTCCTGATAGGTGAGAAATTTATTTCACTACCCCCAGAAAGAACAGGTCCACTTGCTACCTTCAGTACTGCAATCAGAGGCAACAATAGAAAAGTGCCCATGCCTCGCGTATAAACAACATGCCATTGCGGTAACAATATTTCATGGAAAGTGAACTGTCTTTCAGAATAGATGTCATTATTTTTTAACCGTGCGTACCTTAGCACTGTATCCTTCGCCTCCGGTGCGCCCGGAGTCTCACTACCCTCCTGGTCCTTCCTAACGGGGTGGCTGAGGGTCGAGTTAGTGACGGAGTAGTCAGCCGCATTCTCAACCGTAGCCCGGAACAGGGGGACGCTCGGGTTGGAGGAGGCGTCAGAGGGGTTTTCGTCAGAGGGAGAGACCTCGTTCTCGTGCGAGGTGGAGGTGGGGATGGAGGGACTGGGGGCAGAGCTGAGCCCGGTGTGCCCAGTGTGCGCGCGGTAGTGGGCGCGGGGGGAGTAGGTGGTTGCCGGCGGCTCGGTGCGGCTGGCGGTGACGATCCTGGCCGGCGCCCTGGCCTTGGGGTGGTACGTGGTGCTGGGGAACCTGGGCGACTCCGTGCTGGTGGTGGGCCTCGCAGCCGGCCGAACGCGTGGCCTCGGGAGGTCCTCGTCGTCCTCGTCGCTGCTCACCGACGGCGTGTACCTCTGAACGACGGGCTCTACGGGCGCCGCCGTGGTGCTGACGTACCGGGCGGGCTCTTGCTCGTCGTCCTGGGCCGTCTCCGTCGTCGAGGGCCGCACTCGGCGGGGTGCGCCCCGGGCGAACGTGGGCTCTGCGCCGTCCACCGGCCTGGCCAAGGGCCTTCTTGGGCGGGGCGCGGGCGCCGCGTCTTCCTGGGCGGCGTCGGCGGCCAACGGGGACAACGTGGACCTCGGGCGGTATCGCACTACGACGCGCTTCCTGCCCGGCAGCGTGGACGGCCTGTACGTCCTGGGGACGACGTTCTCCTGCAGGGGCGCGTCCGTCTTGACGGGGAGCCTGTGGTTCGTCGCGCGCTGCGTCGTTGGCGGCGGCGGGGTGGTGGTCGTCGTGGTGGTCGTCGTGGTGGGCTCTTCCGTGGTGGGCGGGACTCGCGCTGCGACGGGCCGCAGGGCCTGCTCCGTGGTGGGCTGGTGCGCTGGCCGGCGGGTGGGCGTCTCCTCGTCGTCGTAGTCCTGCTCCGCGGAGTAGTGGACGGAGCCGCGGTGGCGCACGCCACTGGGCGTGTGCACGAAGGCGTCGTCGTAGGAGACCTCGTTGCGCACGGTGGGCGTGCGGAACAGCGATGACGGCGTGGGCCTGCCCTGCGGCGCCTGCTCGTCCGAGTACATCGTCTTGCCTGACCGCGGGGACTCCGCGGCGACCTTGGGCCTGCGCGTGGTGGGGCGTTGCGTGGTGGTGGTGGTCGTCGTCGTCGTGGTGGTGCTGGTGACGGGCCGGGGTGGCTGCGGCTTCTCGGCACTGCCGGGCACGAAGTCGTAGGGCTCCTCCAGGTAGTCGTCATACTCATACTCGTAGTAGTAGTCGGGTGGCGAGGCGAGCGTGCTGTTGGCTTGGGTGCGAGTGGCCGCGCCGGTGGCGTTCTTGGCGGGGGCCTCGGCAAAAACGGCGGGCACGCTCTGCGACGCCGCTACTGGCCGGAAGCGTTGGGGTTCCTCCTTCCTGGGCAGCTGCTGGACCAGCTCGTACTCCGAACCCGCGGCGGGGCGTTCCTGCAGCTCCTTCCTGGCCGGGCTCACGGCGACGAACTTGAGCGCGGGCTCGGTGACCGCGGCGTCGACGCGGTACTCTTCCCGCCGTCCAAGCTCCTGGCTGTCCACTGGTCGCAGCCGCGCCGGCGCCTCGGTGGAGGGCGCTGGCGAGACTGGGCGCACCTGCTGGGGCTCCGCCGGCTCCGCGGGCCGCAGCCTCGTGGCGGGGGCGTCGACGGCCGGCCGGATCGGCGACCTGGGCGTGCTCAGGTCAGGCAGGAAGGACGGCGACGGCGAGAACAGGCCGATCAGGTCTCCGGGCCTGAACTTGGGGGTGCTCGTCGGGAAGGGTGACCTGGGGTGCTCTCCGCGGCCTTGGGCCGGGCGAAGGTGTCGAACGAGTTGTGCAGTGGCGGCGAGAAGCGTGTCGGCGGCTCCGTGGGGGCGGGCCGAGCCTTGGGCGTGCTGGTCTCCAGGACCGACGTGGGCCGCGAGAACTTGCTCTCCGGCAGCGGCGCGTAGCTGGGGCCCGGGTTGTCCTGGAAGCCCTGGAAGCGGGTCTGCGTGGGCGGCACCAGCCTGGTGGGCAGGTCGGCGTCGGAGTTGGGGAAGCGGATGAGCTTGGGCTGGGGCGCGGGGGAGCTCGCCTGGCGCTGCTGCTGCAGTTGTTGTTGTTGCCGCTGCTCCTGCTGTAGTTGCTGTTGTTGCTGCTGTACCTGCTGTTGGAACTGCTGGTACTGCTGGCTAGCAGGCGTGGGCCGGGGGGACGCGTCTGACGGGGACGCCCTGTACGCCAGGTTCGACGACGGTGTGGTGGACGGGCTGCCGCTGGGCTTGGGCGCCGCTTTGGGCTGCTGCAGCGGGGACTGCTTGGGCTGCTGGAAGAAGCCAGCGAACACCTCGAGGGGAACCCACCGCGGCGACGGCGTGGTGGCGAAGGGCGTCCTGGTGTCGTCGGGGCGCGCGTCGGGGCGCGCTTCCGGCTTGCCGGTCGTGTCGTAGTAGTTGTAGCGCGTGAACTCCTCCCGGAAGGCCGCCTCCGACTTGGGACTGGTGGCCTGCTTGGGCAAGATCCTCACTTCGGACGGGCTGGCCGTGGGGGACTTGGCCACGATGCGGAGCTCGGCCGATGCGGGCGCGGCGCGGCGAGGGGCTGCTGCTGGCGAAGGAGGACTGGGCGAACTGGGACTTGGGCAGGATGCGGACCTCCTTGGGCGCCTGGAGGAGCTCCTTGTCGACCGACCTGGCCGTGCTGAGGCTGCTGGGGCTGCTGGGGCTGGGCGACGCGGGCTTCAGCTCTGAGGGGGTGGGGGACGGGCGACTGGCGAAGTCAAGCAGAGAGAACGGCTGGAAGCCGGCGGGGAGGGAGAAGCTCTTGTCGGGGAAAGCGAGAGGCGAAGGGCGAGGCGACGAGGGCTGAGGCGAGGGCGAGGGCGAGGGCTGGAAGCTGAGGGAGTCTCGATTCGTCCCCGGGGCCAGTGGGGCTGAGGGGGTGGGGCGGGACGACGGCGCGGGCGTGCTGCCCACCGAGAAGACGTCCTCGAAGGGGCGCGAGCCGAACCTATCGCTAAGGGGGCGTTCTGGTTCTAGTTTGCGCGGGGGCGCTGGAGGGGGGTTGGAAGGGACGAATCGGTCATTTTGGAAGTAGTTGGGGAACGGGAAGGGGCTAGACGGGTTGAAGTAATCCTGTGCAGAGTTTGTGTGCGTCCTCGAGCCCTGATCTGTTTGCCTTTTGAGTCCGTTCGGGTGTCTGTGGCTGTGGCTGGAGGAAAAACAATGCAGCATTAATGGCGGACGAAAAGAAGATCAATGCCCTCAAACCTCGTCAAGACACGGTTCGTATTGGTTCGCGTGCAAAACAACGTGTTGGTCTGCAGTATTTTATACAGCTATAAATGACGATCCCTCGACCAAAACCATAGGTACAGAAATGATGCACGGGCATTAGTGAACTTCATGCTCGGGGCGGGGCTATACAACCCGTCTGTTTTTACATCAAACAACATTCCGGCTGGTCAGGAGTCAATCAAACTTCATCTCTAGTCGGGGGTTTCCTCTTCCATTTGCAACTTTAGATTATCTAGCGGGTGACGGTGGTCGTCTTGAACCTGCAAGAGACCGCGCCCCGCTCCGCTCGTCCATGACCATGACCATGACCACGGTGACGCATGACGCGTGCAAAAGCGGCCCGCAACCAACGACGGCTTGCTGCGCTCCAGGACCGTGGTGACGAACACGAATTGAAACACTCAGTGCCGGCAGAACCACCAAAAACGTGCCAAAAAACCAGCATGTTCCGGCGTTGCCTTCCTGCGCTGGGTAGCGCTGCCCGCCGCGCCTAAAGCTACGACCAAACAGGGGTGGCAAGTCGTGGAGGACAGAGTGGATGAAGGGGACGCGCGTGGGAAGCCGTGCCGGAAAGCCACGTACCTGGACGGCTTGGTCTGCGGGAAGGTGTCGTCGACGTCGTACTGCACGTTCACCTGGAACCATTCGACAGTTGACATTAACCTGAAGCACTTTTTAGGAGGCAAAAGTTGATGGCTACTTCCACGGCTACTCGTATAGGCATACACCAGAAGCAGTGGACATACGTGGGCGTTGTAGTTGTCGTTGTAGTCCTGGGACGAGACGGTGGGCGAGTACACGTCCTGGCTCTGCACGTTGAAGCTGGAGGACACGTAGGCGTTGTTGGCCTGCTGGCGCTGCGGGGCCTGCTGCTGCTGCTGCTGGGGCTGGTTCACGATCTCGACGTTCTGGGGCTCTTGCCTGTTGTTGTTATTGTTGTTACCTCGGCTGAACGGCTGCGGAGAGTTGCCCTGGTTGTTCTGGTAGTGGCCGTAGTCTGAAAACAGAAATGCACAGAGTTTATTGGTGCCTCACGTAAAACGACGCGGTGAACGTGTCTCTCCCTTGGGAATGCGTCAGGGTACCCACCAACATCGCGGTACAGCTGGTCGTCGTCGTCGTAGACGGCGTAGTACTGGTCGTAGTTGTTGGGCTGGTACGACGTGTTGGCGGGGTGCGCGAACACCGAGCGGCCCGTGGTCGGCGAGGGCTGGGGCTGCGGCGGCTGCGGGGAGTACTGGAGAGGGGCGGCACTGGGCTCAGGCCTGCAAATCACACGAGAAGCGGGTCAGTCTCGCATCCGAGGCGTCGGCCACCTCGGCGGCGTGGAAATCACACGTCGTGTTCCACACATCCACGCACTCACTCACACACATCAGTTTGCTATGTACAGCCTGAAATAGAAATTCCAACTCGCATTATGAACTTGAGTGTCAGTCACCACCGTCTTTTTTGTGCGTGTCATACCAAAAGAAAACAAACCACTACGAAGTACAACAACTTGGAGGTTACTGTACCTGTAACCATGAGTTTTCTTGCCGGCGTCGGGCCTTCGAGGCGTCGGCGTCGGGGTGGTGCGCGTTAGGTCCCTAGTCGGCTCCCTGCTTGCACTGTCTTTACCGGCCTTGGTGGCCTGGGCCTTGGCGGTCGTCTTGGCCGCGGCCGAGGCCTTGGCCCTGGGCGTCGTCAGTCTGTTACTCTGTCTCGACGCCGTGGTCGTCGCGGCCGTCGTCGTCCTGGCGGCCTGCTGCAGCGGACTCGCGGCCAGCGCCCTGTGTCTCGTCTTGGGGTGCGTCTGCGTCAGCTCGTGGAACGTCACCTTGTGGTTGGAGGGGGGAGGGGGGCGGAAGGACTCGGGGTGGCTGCGGTTGTTGGGGCGGGTGAACGGCGCGGGGTGGGGGGTGGTGGAGGGCGGGGCGGTGGTCCTGTTGTTGAGCCTGCTCTCCGCGATGTCCTCGAACACCTGGTACTGGTTGTTGCCCTTCCCGCGCCCCCGCGCCGGTGTCGAGCGCGACCTGCTTGTGGTGGACCGGAGCGGCTCGGCTTCCTCGTCGTCGTCGTTGGCCAGGCCGATGTGCGCCTTGATGTCGGGGTAGATGTGCTTGAGCGGGTTGAGGTCGTCGTACGCCTCGGTGGGCGCGAGGTGCACGTTCTCCACCTTGAACTCGTCCGTGTAGCCCAGCACGTCGAAGAACTCCTTCATGTCGTCGTCCTTGGGCTTGGGCGTGACGGCGGCCTTGCGCGGCGCGGTCCTGGTGGCGGCGGTGCGCGCGGTCTGCGGTGGGGTCTGCGGCGGCTCGGTGCGGTGGTTGGTGGCGTACGCGAACAGCGGCCGGTGGAATGAGTCCTGCAGCTCGCCCAGCTCCTGGCGGAACTTGTGCTGCAGCGCGTCCGGGCCGTACGCGGAGAAGCTGGAGGCCTGGACGGCGGGGACGGCGGGCGTGGTGTTCTGCACGACGCGCTGCTTGGTGACGCTCTGCGCGAAGCTGGGCACCGCCTTGGGGCGCGGCGTGTACAGCAGGCTGTTCCTGGACGACGGCTGCTCGAAGGCGAACTCGCCGAGGCGCGGGCCCTGCCGCGGGTACGTGCTGTACGCCGTGGTGTGCGGCGTGGAGTAGTACAGTGGCGTGGTGCTGCGCACGGCGCGCTCCGTGGACCGCGGGTACTTGGGCGGCGTACGCTTGTCCTCCTCGGAGACCATGTCCTCGTAGTCCTGGACGGGCGTCTTGACGGGCGGCGCCTTGGACGCGGTGGCGGCCGCAGGCACAGCGGTCTCTGCCGGCTTGGCGCGCGCCGCCTTGGTGGTCTCGTAGCGGTGGTTCTTGGCGTGGGGCTCCCCCTTCGGCTTGTGCCTGTGCCTCGCGTTCGCCCCCTTCACCGTGTTGCCCAGTTCGGCGGACCGGCGCGTCGGCTCCTCGTTCACGTCGTCATCCTCGTCGTCCTCCTCGTCTTCGTCGGCGTGCGTCGCGTTCTCGAGCGTGGACGAGTGTTCGGGGGCATGCGAGCTCGGCGCGTGCGTCGTGGAGGACGCGGTGGCCGCGATCGTGTCGACGTAGCGGTTGAAGTCGAAGTTGGGGTCCGCGAAGGGGCTGCCGAAGACGCCCTTGTGCCGCGGGCGCGCCTTCTCCAGGCGGCTGCCCTGCTTCTCGTAGCGCATGTCGCGGTGCGACTCGGTGCCGAAGGGCGACTTCTGCGCCTGGTACTTGTCGTAGTACATGCCCGTCTCCTTGCCCTTGCCCGGCGTCTTCTTGCGCTCGTCCGCGTCCCAGCTGAACGGGATGCCGGTGTAGCCCATGCGGGGGTACTTGGCCGGCGCCGAGTACTTGCTGCTGTCCCCGGTGTCCCTGAAGAAGCCTTCGTCCGGGTCGCGGGGCTTGCCGTGCGTGTTCTGCACCGACTCGGCCTTGTCCACGCTGCCCGCCAGGCTCGCCACCTTGCCGTCGATGCCCTTCTCGGCGTCCATCTCCTTGATGAACTTGTCGTAGTCGAAGTCCAGCTTCCCGAACGTGCCGTCCTCGTTGTCGAAGTCCTGGCCGAAGTCGTCCGAGAAGAAGCCGTCGGGCGGCCGGTACCCGTCCTGCTGCGCCTCGTGCTCGTCGTCATCGTCCAGGTTGAGCTCGCCGGGCTGCGCGGGCGTGAAGCCGAGGTCGACGTCCTCGTGCGGCGCGGGCTGGGGCTCGGGCGTGGGCTGGGCCGCGGGCTGGGGCTGAGGCTGCGAGGGGCTCTTCGCGGGGACCTTCTTCTTGGCCGGCTTGGGGGGCGGCTTGGCCGGTTCGTCGTACTTAAAGTCCGACTCCTTGAAGTCCTCGTCGTCGTCGTCATCGTCGTCCTCCTCGTGGTCGTCTTCCTTGTGGTTTGGGTGCTGGTTGGAGGGCTTTGGCCGCGCCAGGGTGGCTTCTTGCGGCGAGGCCGTCACCGGCTCCTCCTCCTCGTGGTGGTGGTCGGGCGACGGGTCGGTGGTGACCTTGAAGTCGGAGATCATGATGTGCTTCTCCGACTCCTCGTTCTTGTTCTTGTTGGGCCTACGGTTCGGCTTGTCGCTGTGCGGCCCGAACTCCTCATCGTCGTCATCGTCATCTTCGTGGTCGTCGTCTTCGTGGTCGCCGTGCGCCTTGTTCTTCTTGGACTCGTTGGTGCTCAGCTTGTTCCCCCGGTCATCATCATCGTCGTCGTCGTCGTCGTGGTCCTCATCCTCGTCGTGGTCCTCGTCGGGGTCCCTGACGGTCGAGTTGACGACGGGCGCCGCGGTGGCGCGCTCGTCCACCCAGGGGATGGGCGGCAGCGGCGTCTTGCCGTTGATCTTGGCGTTGGGCGGCACGGGGTCGCGGTAGTTGCCGTGCAGCTTCTGGCCGCGTTCGTTGATGTACGACTGGCTCGTCTCGGCCTCCACCCTGCCCTCCGTCGACACCTCCATCACTTGCGACGACGGCGACGTCAGCTGCTGCGCGCTCTGGCCGACGGGCTTGGCGGTCGGCGAGTCCAGCCTCTGGAAGTGGATGTGGTTGGTGGTGGACGGCGCGTCGGCCGTGGCCGGCACCGACACCTGCGTCGTCAGCGACACCGAGGGGTGCCGCGGCGAGGCGTTGGGGTTGGGGATCGGCACGAAGCCGGCGCCGTCGCCGTCGCCCGGGTGCGGCAGGGTGCGGTAGGGCGCGGACATGGGGTGCACGTCCGGGTTGCCGTCGGCGGGCCGTAGCGGCGGCGGCCGCAGGTCCTCGTTGACGGGGTGCGAGTAGCTGGCCGCGCTGGCCTTGCCGGCCGGCCTGGCGGACTGGTGCGGGTGCGGCGGCGCGGGGGTCTGCGGGGGCCGCGGGTTCAGGAAGGCGCTGAGGTTGAGCGCGCCGGGCCGCGCGTCCAGGCCGGACCGCAGGTACGCGGGCGGCGGCGACGCGGTGGGCGCGCTGGGGTCGAAGAGCAGGCGGTAGTGCGGCGGCGTGTCGTCCGGGGGCGGGGGCGGAGGGGCGGGGAGGGGGTGGGGGTACAGGTGGCGTCTTGTCGCGTGTCTTTTGATGGCCAAGCGTAGCGCGGTCGAGCGAGCGAGCGGGGTGGACGAGGGAGAAGAGAAACACAAAACAAAACCCAGGCAGGCATTAGTTGGCGGGTGGCGATGTTGAACCAAACACTCACAGCCCGGAGGAGGCGACCAAGAAACGAAATGGAAATCGCGACACCGCGCTCGGGTAGCAAAGTGATTCGTAAAAACCAAGACGCGTCATTACTTTAAGCCAAAGCGAAACATTCGGTTACTCCATAAAATTAGCCCTCGCAATGAACGGTTGAAAATCAAAAATGTTAGAGACAAGAATAGAGATACAGTTACACTGAATAGATATTAGCACAGAGAAACTAAACTGAGGGTGAGTGCAAATTACAGGGACGCAACTGGTGCGTGGGCGAGAAGGGGAGCGGGTGGGTGCACGGGGAAGGTGCACGGTTGGTTAGTTCGGACGAGGCGCAGCTAAAGCCATGCAGGGCGGGTGCTCTGGGTGGGTTCGCCATTACGGGGATGAGTCAACAGGCAGCCGGAGACAGCGGGGCGGGGTCGAGGGGCGGGAGACGGGTGCGTGTCGGGTACGTAGAGTAAGGTACAGTGTACAGTCGGGTACAGACAAGTTGGTTACCTGCGCAACAGGGTTTGCCTCTTCTTCCGCCTCTTGTAAGTCTCACTGTGCAACAAGTGGTTGTCGAGGTGTTCAAATGTTACGTCAAGATCCCTGGTTAGCAGGGGGTCACCGCTGCGTGGCACACACACACAAACAACACCAACGGTCAACAAGAACGGAACAGTCGGCCCAAGTGCGCACCGCGCGCCGCAAGTCTCCCACACCGCGCGGTATGGGAGACTCGTGGGAGACGGGCGGTGCGGACGGGGGGACACCCTACCTGTACTGCGGGGGCGGCTGCGTGGCGTAGGAGATGACGGACACCTTGTCGCGGGACGTGCTGGGCGCCTGCAACATGACGGCTCGCGTGAGGAAGAGGCCGCGAGAGCAAGAGTAGACCCCACCCCGGCGAGGCGGGCCACACAGCGGCCCGGGCCGCGCGTTGGATTGCCTATCCCGCACTCCGCAGGCGCGCGCGGTCAGGGTCAGGCAGATGTGCCCTGCCTTGCCCTGCCTGGGTCGGTACCTGGATGGTGTTGGGCTGGTGCCTGAGGCCGTCGCGGTCCCGGGCGACCTGGCCCAGACTGGAGGGCTGGCCGCGGTACACTCGCTGCTGGCGGTCGCTCTCCACCTCCTCGGCGGGGCCTAGGTCCTCCGCGTACAGCTGCTGCTGCGGGTTAAATTAAAGTTAGTTAAAGTTTAAGTTAAATTCAGGAGTTGCTTTGAACGGATGCAGCGCGAGTCGTACCTTGGCGATCTCCTCCTGTTCTATGCGCTGGCGTCGCTCCTGCTGCTGCTGCTCCCTGGATAACGTGGCTTGCGACCTGGGGGCACCAAACAACAACAACATCAGACCCTGGAAACAACAACAACAACACCTGACGAGTCGCACAGCGAATTTCTCGGAGCGTCCCCGCTCCTCAATGTCAGCATCCACGCGGCGCCAACGAGAACGAAGTCCAAGGAGGGAGAGAGAGAGAGAAAGAGAGAGAGAGAGAGAGAGAGAGAGAGAGAGAGAGAGAGAGAGAGAGAGAGAGAGAGAGAAGAGAAGAGAGGGAGACGCGCCTTGTGCGAGCGGATACTCGCACAGTGTGCGTGCGTCCGAGCGTCCGTGCGTGCGAGTGTGCGTGCGTGAGAAAGTGTGAAGGACGGCCGCGGCGGCTTCCAAGGACGCTGGCGCTCCTCGCGGCTCGCTGCGCCACTGCCAGACTGCCAGCCGGCTGATTCCGAGGGGGAGGTCCCGTCGGTCTAGTCTCTCTCGTGCCTATGCGGATCGCCCCACGAGTGCGAGAGAGAGAGAGACCTACCACTCGGAATCAGTGTACTGGATCCGCCGGTGGCGATGACCGCCCCTTCCTTTCTGTAATGGCCGCGCCGCCGCGAACGCCCTCTCCATCGTGTGCACCGCGAGTAGCGAGGACGGCAGACTGACTCCGAGAGTCGTTTTCGTCGCTCTGTCATCATCGCGCGCCCATGAGTGCAAGAGAGACAGAGCGACGAAAACGACTCTCGGAATCAGCCTAGAGAATTACCGACTCGCCCCTAAGCGACTCAGCGCGCATCAGCGGACCGGTTAGCGGGCCCGTCCCATCGTGATTCGAGATTGGAGCGAGGGCACGTTCAGTCCGTTCAGTCCTCGGACGACCCCACCGTACCACACTCCACCGCACGCAGTGGGTAAAAAGTTGGTCCGCGTCGGCAAGCCGGCAGTTGAACTTGAGACGCCACGTCGCGACGCTCGCGGCCCGCCCCTTTAACCGGCGCGCCGCCGCGCCGACGTGTGTGCACACTGTGCGCTGCGCTGGCTGCGCCTTGGCTGCGCGGGGTGTCGGTTACCGCGTTACCGCGCCCAAACCGCCGCGTCGTTATCCAACAGGCTGCTTAGTGGAGCGGCGTCCGAGGCGGCCCGGCCAGCGCCGTGCCCTCCTTGGAGGCGGGGCGCGACGGAGGGCCGAGCCGTGCCCCGCCAAGCCACGCCACGCCGCGGGCAGGTGCGGAGTAGCGCAATGTCAAGTCTTTCCTTTCGCCGGGAAAACAAAGGGACTCCCACACGCTGCGCTGCGCTGCGCACCGTCCGCCCACCGCCGAGACGCACTTCTGCGTCTGGTTGCGCGCTCCGCTCCGCTCCGTGACTTAACGCGTAGCTCGCGGACGGTAAACGTTGCGAGCCGGACGCTGTCTCGTTCACGTACAACGTTTTCTTTCAATTTTATCTGGTTGATAAGAAACGCGTCGGCGACGGGTCCGAGCGCCTGTCAAGTCTCGGGTAGGCAGTGCCGCCACACTGGCCTGCTCGACGGGACGGCATCCGAGAGTCCTTCTCGTCGCTCTGTCTCGCTCTCGCTCACTCTTCCTATAGGTGCGAGAGAGACAGAGCGACGAAAACGGATGTCGGATAATCAGTGTGCTGCCTCCCCGGCGGCGTGGTCTACTGTACCTCTGCTGCTGCTGCACGGGGGCGCGGGGCGACGGCGGCGCGCTCCTGGTGGGGGTGGGGGTCACGCTGTCGGCGGCGCTGTCCGCCCCGCAACCCACGTTCCTCGGCCAATCACAGGTCTGGAGCTCATGACTGCAACAGTAACAACACACTCGTCAAAACACACTTCACAAAAGCAAAATACTTTTTTTTTTTGCAAAAATTTGCAATAAGCACTTGGAAAGAGTCGTGAAATTGTAGATCGTGCTTCAGTTAACCCCGTTTGCCGACTGTTCGCACGTGGCGAGTGGAGTGGCGAGGCAGTGGCTTTACGCAGACGGAAGCGCGGCGTAACCGATCGGGCCGCGCTGGCTGGCTGGCTGGCTGGCTGGCTGGCTGCCCGGTCCGGCCGGCGGAGTGCCCGGCCAGTAGTGTGTTTATTGTATGCATATTACGCCATAGCGCACCGCGGCGTGGCGTGGTGCGGCGTGGCGCGACACGGGGCAGTGCGGCGCTGACATTTTCATTGTGCCTTATGCTTTACAGCGTCCACCAGTCAAACGGCACGCCAGCATCATGCCAGCGCCCTGTCGTATCACAAGCAATAACTGAAATCATGCTCAGGGCAGAGGGCCGACTCCGCACGGGGCTTCTTGTCTCTGTCGCACTCCCGGCGCGTGCCGCACGAGAGAGAGAGAGAGAGAGCGACTGCGTCCGTTCACGTCATCATTACAGGCGATGCGAGGCGATAGGCGGGCAGGGCGGCACACTGTACTTGCTCGCGGCACTGCGAACTGCGCGCTCGACACGTGTTCCTCCGCAAACAGCGAACGGCGGCGCGGCGACATAAACCTGCCAAAACGGCAACGGCCGTGGGTTCGATTCCCCGCCAGGCCACTGCGTTATTCTTCCGGCTCGGCGGGGAGGAGCGGGGAGGGGAGGGGACTCGTGTGTGGGAAACACAGCCCCAATCCGGGTGGGCGCGGCGCGCGGCGCTCGGCAGCGCACGTGCGGTCTCTCTCTCTCTCTCTCTCTCTCTCTCTCTCGCACTCACGGGACGTGCCGCATGAGTGCGAGAGAGACAGGGTCGCGAGACACTCCACTTGAAATGAGCCTGCAGGCCGGCGGACTGCCCACTCGGAACCGCGGATAGAATCGGGGGATAGAGTAACGCGTCGCAAAGAGCGCCGATAGACGTCGCCGATCGACGTCCGCGATAGACGGACCGCTGGACGCGTGGCGTGGGCCGCAGTGGGCCGGCCGGGCACCAGACTTCATTCTGACTCTCTCGCACTCATGGGGCGCCCCGTATGAGTGCGAGAGAGACAGAGCGACGAAAGCGACTCTCGGAATCAGTCTGCAGGTGTCACAATGCCACGCGTGCGAATCGCGAGGCACGCGCCGCGGCCGGGCGGGGAGAACAAGAAGAAGGAGGAGGAGATGGCGAAAAAGGGAACGGCCCTTGTCACCGCTATTAGCTAATGACTCAAGTTCCTGGTTCCTTCTGTTAGTTAACGGCGACGCAGTTGACCGCGGCGGGGCGTGGCCGGGGGGGGGGGGGGGGGGCCGCCGCGTCACCCTGACTGCGCGCATTCTGATTCGGCGACAAAACGTGACGAGCGTGCCGAAGCGTTGCGTCGCGTGGCTGCGCGTATAACAGCCCGGCCGCAAAAACGGCCAGTCAGTCCGACTGACAGTGGGACTGACAGTTAGCCGGCCGATCAGAAGTCCGCCTCTAGGCTCTCTCTCTCTCTGTCTGTCTCGCTCTCCGGGCAATAAAAAGATGGGGCAGTGGGGCTCGACAATGTGCCACTCATCCGCCCCGCCGTGAGGCAGGCCAGTTCAGCTCGCGCTGTGGCGAATCGATGCCGGTCACCACTCGTCGGCGTGGTCACGTGGCTAGCGGCTTGGAAAAGCAAGCCAAAGATCGTGTGTTCAAATCCCCACGACTCTCTCAAATTTTTTTTCTAGACAAAACATGCACAAATAGATGGATTTAAATGGATCAAAATTGACTTAGATTAGATCCAAACACTCACCTGTACATGAGCCCGCCTGTGCAGGACTCGAGCAGCGCGCCTCCGAACACGCACACGTAGTACTGTGTGCAGTCGCTAGGGTGGGGGTAGTAGCCGAACTCCTCCGGGCAGTCGAACTCGGTGGCCTGGGTGACGCCGGCGCCGTACTGGCCGCGGCGCTGTCCGTGTACTGCAACAGGAACACCGGGAAGGCGGCGGGCGTCAGCGGCGTCAGCACAACAAAGAATACAGTGTGGGAATACGGGGTTGTGGAGCAAGGCCGGCGCGCGCGCGCACACACACACACACACACACACACACACACACACACACAACACACACACGCGCGCGCGCGACGCGGAGGGCGTGCGTGCGTGCGTTTCGTCGCCAGCACGCACGCTGGCCGCGGATGGAGCGCCACACGGCGCCACGCGGCGTGACGTTGCGGGGCCGGAGGACGTTACCGAAGGAAGCGCGGCACCCCCTAGCGGCGACTCGGCGAAACACACGCCAGCCAGCCAGCCAGCCAGCTAGCCAGGCAGTCAGCTAGCTAGACAGCTAGCCAGGTAGTCAGGCAGTCAGCCAGAGGCTGCTGGGCGGCGGTTTGCATCCAAACGGGGTCGTTTCGAGCTTGTCGAGCTTGTCGCGCAGACGGCTTGCTGCCGCCCGAACCTTTCGAAACGCCCAAGCGCCAAAGACGCGCTCGGCGTGCGGCGCGGTGCGGCGAGCCTAGCCGAAATGACAGTAGTCCTGAGGGGGGGGGGGGACGACCCGGTGGCGAGGATGAGGCGGCCGAGACCACAGACACGCACTTGACTTTTTACCGCTGTGCGGCGCCGCTGCGCGTTATGTAAAGGCTGGCTGGCACGGAGGCCCGCGTCCCGGTGCCGCGCCTGCCGCGCAGTACGCGTCCAGAAACAAGTGGCCGCCAACAGTGTGGCGGCGTCCTGGAACCAGGGACTGAGGGACTATGCACCCGACCCGCCGTCTGCAGCGCGCCCGCCGCGGCATTCCCGTGCGACACACGCTGTTCTGTCCGCCGGCCGCCCGTCGAGTCCAGGGTAGGCCGCGCCGTCGAGCACGCGCGTGTGGCGGCACTGCCCGCCTCGCATTACCATTACCATTAAGGGCTAGACCACACATGATCGTATGCCATAGACGCCTGCCGCTCCGTCTCTCTCGCACTCACGGGGCAGCCCGTAGGGGTGCGAGAGAGACGGAGCTGAAGTACTTTAGTTTGGAATCAACCTGTCTTCGGCACGCCCCAAAAGTGCGAGAGAGACAGAGCGGCGGAAGCACTGTTTGGAATGGTTTGGAAACAGCTCTCTTGCCGGTCCGCCGGGTTGCACAGTGGGCCAGACGACCGGTGGAGGCGGCCAAAACCCTAGACGCGTTTTGAGCTCCACAGTCGCTAAATGGGACTCGAAACGAACGTGTGACCCCACCGATGGATCGCTCTCCGAAGGAGCACACACGTTCAGGTTGAGTTTCATTTGGCGACTCTAGGGCTCAAAACGCGTCTAAGAGTTTTGGCCGCCTCCACCGGTCTCCTGGCCCACTGTGGGTCGGCCGGGTCGGCGGCCGTGCCCGGGGCCGTCGCCTCCACTCGCCGCGGCGTCGCTCGGCGTGCCGACCGGCCGTCGGCTGCCGTGCCAGCGCACGAGTCACGACGACAGTGACAGAACGGACACGGTTTTCCACGAATCGGGCCGCAGCGCCGCAGCCCGCGCGAGGCAAAAACTAATTAAGTCGTAACATGACCGGTCGGCGGCCGACGGCCCGCGCGGCCAACGGGCGGCGGGCACGATCATGGAAAGCGGCTCAAATCACCTGCAGCTGCGTCGTATGGACACGCCCGGGGTGCACGCGAAGCACGCCAAGCCCAAGCCGCCAAGCCGGGAGCGAAACGTAACACGCTTCACAGAGACAAAAAAACAACAACAAAAATCGGCAGCGGTAACGGGCGACACGCCAGCAGCAACAACAACGGCGAGATCCTTGGCGAAAGAAGCGTGTATTGTTTTGCTCGGGTCCGCCAATGAGTGGCGTGGCGTGGCGTCGGGAACGGGGAAGAAATGAGCCGAAAGGGCGCGGTAATTGACACGGAACCCTCCAAGGCCCCAAGGACGGAGTGACGCAACAACAACGGCAGGAACAACAAAAACAAAAATGACAACAGCAATCAATTACAGTAATGCTGCGGTAGCCACACGCCGTCATCATCGGGGGCACCGGCACAGCCACGCCGTGGAGGTGTGGGAGAGGGGAGGGGGAAGGATGCCGAGTTGGAGTTCACAGACCCCGCGCTGCGGGCGGGGCTGCGGGCTGACCCACGGACTGGCAGGTTCGCCCACCCCTTCATGGGCCACTTTGGCTTAGGACCGACACTCCGGCAGCCCAGCAGCCCAGCCGGCCCGGCCCGGCCCGCAGGCGGACGCACTAGGCGACCTTGGCGGCGTCGGTCGGGTGGCGCCCCCGGGGCGGGGCGGGGCGGGGCGGGGGAAGGACGAGTGGAACCCGAAGAAGAACGACGTGGCGGAGAGTCGCGCGTCTGGTTACAGGTACAGGTCCCCGCCGTCGCCGACGCCGCTCTGCGACCTTGCAAGGCTGCCGGCCTGGCGGTGCCTGGCGGCTTGGCGGGGCGTGGGCAGGGCGTGGTCGCGGGGCGCCCGCCGTCCGGGTCCCGGACTCCGGTCGGACTCCGGTCGGACTCCACTCCGGGAACACGGCGAGCGATAACGCCCAGGAATGCCGACTGGGTTCGACGCGCCGAACGCGCCGAACAAGCGCGCCGCCAGGGAAGTCGACGAAGTCCTCCCGGAAAGGCAGCCCAGGACAAAGACTGCACCACGGACGCCGGGACACCGGCACGCCGCGCTCCATTCCGCGACCTGCCGCATAGCGCACCGCGCGTTGTCTCTGTCTCGCTTCGCCGTGCGGAATATACAATGCTTTGCCTGCCGCCGTCTTTCTCGGTATCATGCAGCTAGTCCCGCTGCGCGCGCGCACACACTCACACACACACAGGTACACACTTGAAACCGGACGGTGCGCGGCGGTGTGAGAACGGCCTTGCGCCACCACCCCGCTGTGTGTGTGTGTGTGTGTGTGGTGTGCGTGTGTGTGTGTGCACCGCACTGAGGCTTTCCTCCTCCTCTTGCGGCCGCCATACCACTGCCACTATGACTGCCGTTCCAGCCGGCAGCAATTCAAGCAAAGCGCCTACCGCCTATCCTAAATAAACCAGCAAATTTGCTGTCTGGCGGCTGACGGCTTGCAGGCAGGCAGGCAGGCAGGCCGGCCGTAGCTCAATGTGGATCAGGGCATCAGGCTGTCTCCGTCCCGCGCACGCAACTCATTGATATCGCGTTGCACATCGCGGTGAATAATGCAAGGCGTTTCAGCGGACTGAGAGTCGTTTTCGTCGCTCTGTCTCTCTCGCACTCATGGGGCGTGTCGTGTAGGTGCGAGAGAGACAGAGCGACGAAAACGACTCTCGGAATCGGTCTGCAGGAGGAATTTCTCTCGACGACCGGCAGCATGGCAGGCTCACCGAGCCGCAGTCCGCAGTCGATACCCAATCCCGCGCAACGTTTGCCGCAGTGCGCCGCAGTGCGCCGACTCCACGGCCCGGCGATCCGTCGCCCGTTATCGAGAATCGACGTTATTTCGCGCCAAAACGCGCGGAGCGGCGCGGCCCGGCGGCACACACGCGCACGCTGCTGCCACCAGAGAAGGCCCACAAAAGCGTCGACTTCTTTGTTGCCTTTTTTCGGTTTTATCGTCTTTTTTAGCCGAGGGAAACGCTTTCACGGCTTTTCGGCTGCGATAAGAAAGAGGCAGTACTAAAAAAGATCAGCCAGGAACACTCCACTTTCAGGCATACACGCACGCGACGCCATTCCCAAACCATTCCATTAAACTTTTTTTTTTCTTAAGGAAAAATAAAAACGGTCTTGGACACGCGAGGATTTGAACCGCAGCCCGGGAGTTGGCACACAGATGCTTCAACGCCCTCGGCCAGGCCGTCGCGTCCAAACTTCCACCCAATTTCCCCCACTTGCCTCACGAATGCAGCCCCGCCCCGCCCCGCCGCCATGTGGGCCGACATTAGTTATCCACGCGCCGCGCCTCGGCCGCTGCCTCGCGTCATAATCACAAGCGCAACTCGGGAAAACAAAAAACAACGACAAAATGAATAACAGCGACGGCAGAAATGGAAAGGAAAGAAAATAGAATGGAGGCGCGGCGGCGCGCGGTGGTGTCGTGACGTGCGTGCAAGTCTCCACTGACTTCCGCGCCGCTCGCTCCACTTTTAGTTATCGCCCGATTGAAAACCGACGCTCCGCCGGCGCCTTTTCGACACGTCTCCGCCCGATTTCCGTCTTGCTTTTTAATTTGCCACCGGCGCTGCTCCGTGAGACAGAGCGACCGTCTGGGCGGCGCGCGGCGCCAACAGGATGTGTGGCCGGCGACGACCCGCGCGAACCTTGGCATTTGGCGCCTCCAATCAGAACGCTACACTTGTAGGAGCACAGGCCTCCCGCGGCCGCTCGGTGTGTGGGCTGCTACAGTGTGGGTGAAAAAAGAGATAAATAAGGCGCGACTTTTTGACCCGGTATTCGAACCCAGGGACATTGACTGGCAGCGCGGCGCGCTCGTCGCCCGTCCACTGCTAAGCGCTAAGTGGCCGCGATCATGAGGAAGCGCGATAAGCGCGTTTTCTCGAAAACTTACGAGTGCGCGCGGAGGTCGCCGCGTCGCCGCGTCGCAGTGTCGCCACCACTCGGTCGCTCTGTCTCTCTCGCTCTCGAGGCGCGCCCCGCGGCGGTGCGACAGAGACAGAGCGGCGAGGGCACCGCCTTTAATTGGCGCATTAGCATAAATTCCGCGCGTATCCGAGAAAATGCGGCCATAAACACGCAGCCGAGATAATATTGGCCGCCACTGCAAAAAGAGTGGCGCCTTCGCCTTTTATCGCGAACAAAAGCAAAAGCCGATCGCGGTGGCGCAACGCACGAACGCACTGCCGCCAACGAGGCGGCAAAGCTCGTCTCGTTTCAGTCGCGCTGTCTCTCTCCCACTTGCAGCGCGCTCCGCGCTGGGTGCGAGAGAGACAGACCGACGGAGCACTGTGCGGAATCGGTACGCTGACCCAGATGACCAATCACTGCATTGGGGAGGTATTCG